GCCGGGCAAAGGCAGGCGCCGGAGACGGGCAGAGCGCAGCGGCGGAGCGGGGCGGACGGGGTGGGGCGGACAAGACAGGAGGGGCGAGAAGGGCGGGACAAGATGGGGAGAAGTGGGAAGTGGATCCGGCGGGCAGGGCAGAGGAGGGCGTGCCGAGCACCGGACGGCGGGGTCGGAGCGGTCAAGGTAGGAGCGGGGCGAGGAGGGGCATAGCGAGGAGCGGAGGCGGGGCTGGCGGGGGACAGGAAAGTGGCGCGGGGCGGGGCGGGGCGGATTGGGCGGGCGGGTGCGCGCCGGGCGTGCGCCCCCGCCCGCTGAATGTTTACAACGGGGCGCCACGCGCCAGTGATTATTCGTTCGAGCGGCCGTTCGCCGCGTTACCTAGGAGACCGGGGGCTGCCGGGGGCGTCGCTCAGCGCTCAGCACGAGGGACGGGAGGCACCCGTAGGCTCCTCAGGCGCGAACTGCGTTCCTCCTACGCACCGGCTCGCCCCACCGCAGCAGAAGGCAGCGGCGCAAGTCCATAGCGGGTCAGTGATTGGCAATTGGATTCAGGACGCAAATCAACTTTGAGGACATTCAGTGTAGTGCTTTGTTGTAGCCGGGAGCGTGGTGGTGTTTCTTCTCCGGCTGTAATGATATATCAAGCGCTGTCATACACGATGGCTGTGCGCAGTTTCTTCAGGCGAGGAATTGATCCAGCCGGGATATGGTCTAGCTCTCGATTGATTCATGACATGTGACTGGCATGGAAGTATTAGCGGGTGTAAGGGAGAGGAAGGACAAAAATGAGGAAGGAAAGATTGCGCGCGGTCCGTGGTCTGTTTGTTAGGGTACTGTTCCGGCATTCGCCTGGTTTTGATAGATGAAACCATGGAAAACAACCGACCAGAGCATCCGGTTTCAAGAATACTCTTCCAGATAGTGGCTGAATGCGACTTCGACTAGTATCTAGCTAGTGTCGAAAATCCACTTCCGTCAGGACTCAAACCCTAGAACCTCCGGGTCAGAAAAACTGAAGTGACAAGCTGGTGCGCAGTGGAACGATACATGTTCTGTAAGGGATGAGCCTCGCCAAAGACTTCATCGCTCTGAGAAATATATTCTTCATCCACTTACTAATCCCTCGGAAATGACACTGCTCACAGAAAGTTTTCACGATTGATTATGTTTAGATCTATATCGTCACTCAAAACAAATATTTGTATTATTTTATTCATGTTGAAACATTAGAAGTGATAACATGCACGTCGAAGATAGACAGACTGCTCACAATCACTGAATGTTACTGAGTCCAAGCAATTCACTTTTATTAGGCTCACCAATCACGTCTCCCACTATAATTTCCGGAAAAGATTGTCAAAATAATCGCTCTCGTGGATGATCAGAGTTGCTTATTTTCTCCACCATTGTTATATTGGGTCTCAGCCGCAAGTTTCGATGGGAAAGAGGGGAGATGGTCTTTCCTGGCCGGGCCCGCACGCTAGGAAAATGTAGCCTACACAAGCGACACCCTTAATGCTGCTGTCGGTCACGGGGCAACGAGGGAACTAAGTAGCTCTTGCAGTCTCATTGTTTATTGAGAATGACCGTTCCACGCGGGCGGTAGCGGGAATAGCTTTGCAACATCTGACGTAAACATAATTCTCTTTTTTTTGTTTTGTTTTGTTTTTTCTTCAAAGTTTTTGATCTATATCTGTACTGAATATAGAGTACTGGAATTCAAATCCCAGCTACTCTATGTAGAATCTAACGTGGGCGAAAAGATACGCGTCAGGTTTCCCAGATTCCTCTCGTTTGTTCTTTCATTCAATCATTACTCCATCGCTCAAACCAACACATCATTATACACTCATCAAAAAGTGACCAGCCCTCGTAAAGGTGTCAAGCTCAAATACAGGAAATTTTCGCGGGAGAGGCGTAGGAAATAGCAGATGGAAACCGGAAGACATCTACTTCCCAATTCATTATCATCTACTCCCTGATTACTCATTGAGTTCTTAGAAGCCGCAAGCTTAGAGTTTGTTCCAGCATCGGAGGCTTAGAAGTGCCCTGCTGGAGAAGATTTCTAACTGGGTCAAATACTGACTCACTAATTAAAATAAACATATGTAATGTCTTTAATAAAAATATACCTTTTTGTCAAAACTGTACTTCATAGTAAAATGTGGTTAATGTGAGGAGTACCTAGCTAATTCGCACACCGACCTGATGGTGTGGATAAAGCTGTGTGAATGACGATGAAAGGATCATATTTCATATTTCTCTGTAAAACATGATTTAATTTCGTTTTCCTCTATCCTTCCCCTTTCGTTTCCTCAACCTGTGAAATTCCTATGGGAGATGGGTACGTGCCCATACCTACCACATCGTGGCTAGGTCCATGTTCGTCTTATGCTTCAACTGTCAGTCAAGGAAATATTCCCGACAGAGCATGATTTTCGGGACACCCAAGAGAAAACTGTCCTTACTGCCTTCATGGTGCCGGCCCTTCTAGAGGGGGTGAACTAGTGCAAAGCGGAGCCATAAGAAATATGACCAGACGGCCCACTGCAGAGGTCCGCGTGCCTCTCGCCTTTCACTAGACTAGACCCGATCGCACCCGATCGCCGCCCTCCTTTCCCGTGGAGCTGTATCGACAGACAGCGGGCCACACCGGCAGCCCCCGCCTGGTCAGGGCAGGCCAAGTAGGCCGCCTCCTTGAGTAGCTCTGGCATAAAGGGGTTGGCGAAAGCCGGGGAGGCACGAGGGAAGACTGGAGAAGAGGGCGTCCGCTTTACGAGCTGGCCCCCGCGAGTCAGATTTCGGCAGAGAATGACGACGACGGCGACGGCGGCGGCGGCGAGGGTGGCGACGGGACTCCGGCGCGGCGACCCGCAACAGCGACTGCGCTCGTAAAAAGAACGCGGCGCTCGCGACGCCGCTGGCAAACGAGTTGGAAGATGGAAACGGAAGATAGGGAAGTTGCTCGGGAAATGTGAAATGTAGCGCTGCACTTTTTAGCTACTTTTATGCAGCGTTAATGTACTTCGGTTTTGGAAATAAAGTGACGAATTTCTCGCAGGTTAACGGACTAGCATTGCCTGGAGATATTAAACCACTCAGTTCACATTTCGATGATAATGGTGATGATTGTTATAGTTATCACCAATGTCAGTTGGCGCCAATTTTGTTCTAGCCTCTGAGACTCTGATTTATATAACTTTCACAAAAAGATATTCAGCATATTACTAATCTTGCAATATACTGGTACTGCATTATTTTTTTTTTTCGAACTCTATAATTTTTTCTTGCTACTACCCTCTATTTTTAACATTTTCTTTTGCTAGTAACGTTATGTTTTGTTGTTTTTTTTCGTTTTGTATATTATTTTTAATGAAAAAATTTGTAAGATGTTTTGTCAGCTTTAAATATAACTAGGGCTATCCCGCGTTTTTCACTTATCCCTGTTCTCTGTCATGAATGCGATGGACAGCAACATTCTCTTACACTTTTCAGTCGACATTCTTCAATTTCATGCTCTCCCTATGGTTCTTTCCTCGCTCGTTTATTCGCTCAGTATCACTTTATCTCTCTCTTGTGGTCTAATACTCTCATCTGCAACGTTAACGTTTTCAGAAGCCTCAACTTTCATCTCCGTATCCTGTTCAAAGGCGAGGGTCAATGAAGGTTTAGTACTAAAAGCTCGACCAACTATAGATGTAGTGCGTACTAAACAACACTGAATGCAGAGCCTGTCCCTTGATTGTAGAGAAAACGCCCCCTGTTACTCTCCGGACGTGTTTTCTTTGCCGTGCAGGACAACTGACGGCACGCAATTAACCCTCTATTCCACATTGGTTGTCAATCACTTTTCCATCAAAGAGGTTTCGTACGGTAAGACTTTTTTTTATCAAATGCATATTTTGCCTAAAGCCCGAATATGTCCAATTCCTGAATAAGTAGGTTATTGTTTACACGATCCAAAATGGATGGAAAAAACTGGAACAGCATCGAGGCGTACTACGAAATACCTTTTTCACAAGACCCTTCGCTCTCAGACAATATAATCAGTCAATGCCCTGTAGTCAGACGCTGCCCAAAGCGATCCTTTCATCGTCATTCTCACAGCTTTATCCATACCGTCTGGTTAGAGTGCGAATTAACCAGGTACTTCTCACATTAACCACATTTGGGACTTGCCATAACAAACATATTTCAAGTGACAACAGGTGCAATGAAGGAGCAGAAATAACAACACCAGCGCATTGATGTTGAAACCCCACAATTCGTGTGACGCAATCAGGTCACTGTCTACAAATTATATTATTAGTTAAAGCTGGCTGCCTGGTCGTAGCTGATGGTTGTGGACGGGGCATAGCTGGCAACAAACGTTTAGCGCATGCGCAGCAGAATTTTTTTTCCTTGGGTGGTTGAGGAAACTGATGTAATAACTTAAAGGGGAGCATTTCTTCAGCAACACCTTGCAATAATCGATCTCCATGCTATTGTACTAGTGAGTAAATTTCTCTTGGGGCACAATAAGCTAAGATCCAAAAAGAGCCGCTATTACACAGCAGCAGCGAATGTTTCTATCAGATTTTGCCGAAAGCGCTCTGTGCTACCTCTATTCATAATGCAACTTACTATTCAGAGAGATTTTTATAAGAAGGAATTGCTCTTACAGCTACTGCTGACAAAATAATTGCGGGTTATATCCATGCACTCAATTCGTCAATGCGTTCGTTTAGTTAGCTCATTAGTAAATGATTTTCATCACCATCTCTAGCAATGCCATCACCCTACATGGCATTCATCTGTTTTCCAACCTTACAAACGGATCCCTTCTTAGAATAACTCCTCTATGGTAAAATAACTGGGTAGGCACTCCGGAGCTCTGGAATGCGTACACGAATGCTACTTCTCTCCCCATACGTCACTGGTTGTTGACGTTCACCGAATACATTCCTCATGAAACTCTGTTTCCGTGTGCAGGGAGCGTGAGGTCGACGCCCGACGCCATGCTGCCCAGAGTGTGGGTGGGTGTGCTGCTGGCCGCCGCGCTGCTGGCTGCTGAAGCCGGCGCGCCGCCGGGCACCGACGACCCCAGCCACGCCAGCGAGCCCAGCGCCGCCAGCGCCGCCAGCGGGGCCGGCGACACCAGCGACGCCGCGCGCCAGCCGCACTCGCGCCAGAAGCGCGTGCTGTGGGTGACGAACGACGGCCGGCTGGCGCTGCCGCCGGGCACCTCGCTGGTGATCACGCCCACGCTTTCGCTGCCCTTCGTGCGCTACCCGCCGCACGGCTTCCTCTCCAACATGACCATCAGTCTGCCCTTCACCAGTGCGTACCACTTCTTCATTCCTTTTTATTTATTTATTTTATTTTATTTTTTTTGAAAGCGTAGGCTTCTGCGGCCGGTGTAAGTTTCTACGCTGCGATTTTTCCATAACTGCCTGGGACGTAAATCAGCTGATTCGGTGTCATCCAATCAGAAGGTTCGACGCACCATAGTGACGTGTAAGGTCCCGATTGGGAGTAACAGACGATGACCTACCAGAGGCAGCATTGAATAAATTGCAGTATACACACTTGGCCGCCCGGGAGGCGCCACGCCCTAGGCAAGGGTGCCAACGTTTCGGCCATCATACTGCGACCTTCCTCAGGGCATTTTTATCCCCGAGGAAGATCGCAGCATGACGGCCGAAACGTTAACATCTGTGCCTATGACACGGCGTCTCCCGGACACCCACGTAGATACTCTTCTATTTTCTTTGTTTGCGGGCACATTAACTGCTGTGGCCATTTGGCCCGAAAATCCAGTGCATGTTACATCCCGGTAGGCGGCAATGTGCCTCTCCCGCTACAACGTGAGATCCGCTGCCAACCTACATAGTGGCTGGTAAGAGTTTCAAATGTCCCGGTAGGTCCGTTAGCAGGTTGCCGGCCCAGCTGACGCAAACTCGAAGCTCCCGACGCATGTGGTAATGTAATGTATGCAAGTGTAAGCGTATGTGTAAGGGGAGAGGAGAAACCAAGGACGAGGACCGAAAGATCGCACGCTATCCCTGACCTGTTTGTTTGGGTACTGCTCTAGCATTCGCCTGGTGTTGATGGGAGAAACCACGGAAAACTACCGATCAGAGCAGCCGACTCCAAACTGCGAGCGCCTCAATCCCTTCAATGGAGGAGGTCCTCCTCCTGAGCCGTAAGGCTGCATTCAAAAAGTTTTCTCTTCTGGTCACGATTGATGTGGGCGATTACTTCACGAGAGGAGAAACGACAGTTCTTCCCTAGGTGATTTCGATAATTTTGGCATCACCTGGAAGCGCCCTTAGTTTAAAACTCGATCAAAGTCAATTTCCTCACAGCTGTCAACTATAAAAAAAAATATGTTTTTCTTCCCCAAAACATCAAAACAAATATTGTATTTTGCAATTACGTTCCAAAGAAGTAGGTATGTGTGCGCAAAGGCCTTGCCTCCATCGATTGATCATAATCCTCATCGTGTCCTTGTTGTCGCAGTCGATTTCGACAAGCTGGGCCTGACGGACAACGAGAACCCGTACGGCGTGCTGCCGCCCATCCTGGCGCGCAGCATGGGCCGCATGTCGGCGTCGCTGCTGGCCGACTACGTGGCCAAGGTGATGGAGCGGCGGAGACTGCGACGCGCCAGTCACCCCCCGCCCACGCCGCCGCCCAACGCGAACTTCCACGGCGGGGAGAGGTGGGTGCCTACATAAGCGTACACTTGGGTGAACTGAAACGCCGGAACAAAATTAATTATATGTGTCATTTGTATTCATTGCATTGAGAATCGCGTTCAAAGATTTCTGCAACAATTATTCAATGGATAATTTTATATTACTTTAAGTAAATAATCTACACATGCGTATGTTTTTAATATGTATATGTTCACATTTCTTGTAATTTAAATAACTTGTGCATTGCGGTCACTGTTATTTCGTTGCAAATTCATATCTAGGAATGGTATTGCTAATAATCATTTTATCTTCGTTTCTAGCACCTCCGAGCCCCATTTCCAATGAAATTTGTTTATTTAGATGTGACATATTTATCTAGTAAATAAATAAAATATTCAATGAAAATAATTTTATAAATTTAATGATTCAATTCGGAATACAGTTGATTTTTTGCTGAACCATTTATAGGGTTTTGAGGTAGCTTGGAAGGTGTCTTTCGCAAATGTGGTGTATGAAATCCCCAAAGTATCGGAATACAAATGGGAAAACATCAGGAATTGAGAGTGTTTACGGAAATAAAGTGCTTCATTACGTAGAGCCACGGGGCCCATCTCGAAATTTTCAAAGAGGCCGCTGTTGCTTCAGTGGCTATGGCACAAGTGGTACCTGAGACGACAAACTCAACCAAATTCTAATTTTATTCACAGTGCCTAAGCAGACTACGCTTCTGCTTAGGGGCGGGGCCCCAGTACTGTTTGCTAAAAAATGTATACTATTTCATAAATACGTAAAAATTATTGATGTTTTTTTTAAAGATTCACAAAAATAGTGAATTTATTTACTTATATTTCTAAAACAATTTTTAAAAACTTTCTGGGAGAAAACCGAGACTTCTTCGATTCTGGGATAAGTGCAATGGTCACACGCTTTCTTTAGCTCGCATGATACTCTCTTAGGAGTCATTCCATGCAAAAAAGTATGTATTTGGACATATCTCTAGAATTAGAAAGTATTTTGGTATGCCATGTTACCTGCAAGAACGAGGTACAATACTCCCATCGGCCACTGTTTGGCAAAATGGGCACTTGTAATATTAAATTAGCAGGGTGTAGACCTTCCTATGATTTTTTTTCTGATGATAAGCAAACAGGCAAAAACATGAAAGTAATACATACAGAAGAAATATAAATGATAGTTTTCCCCAACAGGTATTTCTTTACCTTTAGTCTCTCTGACAAATAGGAATTAAACGAATTGTAAAAATTGAAATATATGAAAAAGTAATATTTTAAATTCGTTAATAAAAAACTGATGATACAACTTTCTTATTAGTTTGAAAATTTCATCATGGAACCTTGAATAGATTACCAGTTAAAATTAAAATATCTTACCGGCGCACTGTAAACGAATAGCCGCCTGCCGCCGCCGCTGCTCTTATCAGCTCTTCACGTTACGTTGTTTCTCCATGGCGCGGTGATGGATTTCGCAGAAGCACTTCTCATGGATCTTCGGAGAGTATGTTCTCGCAGCAATTTTGTTTTCAGAAACAGGAATCACTCCGCGTTCCTGACAGTTTTCAGACCTACGAATATCCCAGCATTTAGACATTCTGCTTCATGTTCCTCTTCACTGGTGAATAACGAAATTCCTTCCATATTACTCGTCGCCCACTTAAAACTCCCCTAGGAGTAGTGATGCGAGTTCCTTGAAGGTTTGCGTAAGCAATGACTGACCTTGAGGAATGAGAAATTATTTACGGTACTGTTTCTTTCTAACTCCCGGGGCTGCATTCTCCTAAATTGATTTTCTCACTTCATTGTCTGTTTCATTGACTCACTAAGATCTGTATTGGGCATCTTTAATATTTTGAGACGACACATATTGCTTCACTTACCACTAAAGATATTAGATATTTTCCGCACCGCCTCTTAAACTTATTCACAATTTTCAGGTGTTAAACTTATTTCCACTAAAACAATAAATCAGTAAACTATAACACAACATACCAGAGCCTACAAAACCTCTCCGACGAGATCACTGGGCATCCCTAAGAATGAAATGTAAGGTAAATGTCGATTCCCTGTACAACCTCGTCTCAGTTCTCTCCGAAGAAACGCACGCGATTTTCAACCTTTTAACCAAGAGCGTAATTCGCCCACCCTTTTTATTTCGTAAATTACGAATTTTTACTTTCTCGCATACTACTTATGCAGTATTCAGAAAGCATTTTAATGTTGTTGTGAAAACGGAGATTTTTCGAGAGGAAAACACTTATTAACATGCCCTAGTAACAAAAAAGTAGATAAATCTTGTTTAAGATTCCATCGCGTCAGTTGGCACAGTGGTTAATAATTGTTTCTTCTAGCAATGTGCGAAAATGGAAGAGAGAAAAAAAATACTTTTCAAGATACGTGCATTTGTTTCATTGTGTTTAATATATATAGTCAACAACTTAAAATAAGTTGATTATTTTTAAAACAGTGTACCTGTATTTGAAATTTTATATGTCTTTGTGAGTGTCAGATTTCTTTTATTTATTAAATACATTGTATTATCCTCCATACTTAACCAGCATATGTTGTTAAATTGCAGAAAATATTAATTCCATATAAATTGGCTTACAATGGTTCATTATTAGGGCTTTAACATACTATAATATTTACAAAATGCAAGACTTGCTATCTGTCAGAAAACATGAAATTTTACTCGGAATGAACTTAGCCCAAATATGTATTGACAGAATAAAGACACCATTACTTATTTCAATAAAAATGACTATTACTATTTAATAAATACTCATTATTCATGTTTTGGCTACACAATTCTATCGGTATACAACTGCAAAGCATGTTTACTACAGTAATTTTGAAGTAATGTGAAAAATGAAGATCAATATTAATTAAATTTCACAGGGCTTTGCTGTATTCTGTAGTGGAAGATTTTCTAGCAAATTTTGGAATGGATGGCAGAGCATGTTTACTTCGAGCCATCTGTGAAGTTCATGGACACCCACTTCATGAATTTGGGTTTCTTGGAGAAATAATCAAGTTATTTTTCACGTAAGTACTACACACTGATATTACTGGCCGAATATGGTAGTAATAATATGCGATGACTGTTGAGAATAATTACTTTCTACAAAAGATAGTGTAATTACTGCAGCCAAAAGAATCAACAACGTTGCAAACAAAAATTGTTAATTACTTGAGCAGAAAATACTTTTAAAACATATTCATAATTGAATTGCTTGGTGCAGAAATCCCTCATGTCTATTTTTTAAACATTTTGAGATATGTTTATCACACAATATAATAGATGTAGATGCACTGGTATTAAAAATTCCTCTTGTCCGCCAGAAACTGTGGGGGTAACATTGCTAATTTTTGGTATAGAATCGTGGGTAAAGTAATTCAGATTTTTCCTTCTGAAAAAGCATGAAGACCGGACATGAGGGGTTTCTGCATGGTGTGATTCAATTATTTCTGGAAGTAAAAGAGAGAATAAAGAAAAATACTCAGTAAATAATATTATGTGGGTTAATGTAAATGTTCTAAAAAATAGTTGGGGTATTACATTTTTGCACTGAAATGTTAGCCTCTTATTACTGCTAAATAAATTATTATACAAAAATGACTTTCCAAGACTTGATAAATAAAAACATTATACGATTTATATAAATTTTCTATATTTTTTGCTAACTTTCTAAATACGGAAAAAAGATTTAGAGAGTTGGCTGAGACAAGACAACAAAAATAAATGTAGATCTTACTTAAAAACAATATTATCTTACATTAAAACATTAAATAACTTGGATACAATAATACTAAGAAAATGTACCAAGAAATGAAGATTTAATTGTACATCCAAAAAATTGAGAACAATGTTTCTCAGGCAATTCTAGACAGAGACAACAATTTATAATTGAAATGAAGGCATATCTGAAATTTAATATTTTTAATTCTCATGAACATATCTAATGTCTAAAGAATCACTGTACCCTGGAAATGATTCCTTGTCATTCTGAAAAAGAAGGCAGTTATAAACCACCTTAAAATGTATTTTCAAGAAACTATTATTGAAAGATAGAAGTTAAAAGATTAATACTATTAACTAAAAGCAGAATATATGAGGTGTGTTCTGCCTCTTGGGCTACAACTCTAAATTTTTACTTTATTTCCTTATTTCAACACTGAAATTTACATGAAAATTTGTCTCTTCCAGAGCCAGCAAATCACCATTTGCTGATCTTCTCACAGAGTATGTGACTGCCGAACAAGCAGGAAAGGACCATGGAGAGTGTTGGCCGTACTACAAAGACTGTCCCAAGTCTCTCTTCAGGTCAACACAAAAACACAAATACATGTGAGAAAACCAAATCTATTACAGTGTATGCTGAGTTTACTCTTTTCAATGAAGACAACCATAAATTTCTTCATTTTGTCTTAGAAGCTCACTATCTCCTATATTTATTCACTCACAAGAAATCTCTCACTTATACAAGAGTATATCATTGTTAAATATACATTGTTGTAAAACTACAGTTAAACCAATTCCAACAAAAATTGGAATGAACGTATTGCTATTATCACTTCTTTCTGTTAGTTAAATTTGAGTCAATGAATTATTTTTAAAAGGTAATGAAATCCTATAAAACTAATATGAAACAAACTAGTGAAACTAGTTTCAAACTGATGACATTCTTGGATGTTTAATTTATTATAGCATCACTTTGGAGATGATAAAAACAATTCCTTTTCTTTTTAATGATTTGTGGGAAGAAGAAACTCAAATTATTTTGTTTCAGGGAAGACACATCAGCCCATGATGAAGAAGAAAATGAAGTCTATGATGATATTCATAGTGATGAGGAAAGGACTTCAAAAGTGACATTAGAAAAATCAGAAGTTTCTTCAAAGGCTATGTGAAAATTACTGAATGCCGCAAGTTGAAAAGTCATCTCATCAATATCTGCTACATTAATGTACTCTTTGAAAGATTCACAAAGAAAAAAAATAATTTATATATCACAAGTAATGATGCAGATATGTTGAATTAATGTGAGTCATTAACACTTCAGTGGGATGAGCAGAATTGAAGATCAAAGTGTACTTAACAACATCCTGTTGAATGTTATAAAATAGACTCTGTGTACAAAGCGGAGGTATTGTGGATCACTACAAGGGACTCGCATACAACTGCAGAAATGCATACAGAGAAAGTGATTGTATATTATAAAAGATTTGTGCTATCCTGTGTTAGACATAGATTTATGCTTTCATGATAAAACATTCATCGTTGGTCAAAATGTTTTCTCTAGAGAGATGAATCATGAAACTATTCTGTATTATAGTTCAGCCTAATTTTATAACAGAAAGGCCTCATTTTGACCATTCAATGAGACCATAATTTATGATTTTAAAAATAATTACAAACTCATTAAAAGAATGATAAATGATCTTGTTCCAATTTTTTCATAAGTGCCATTATAATGTATGACATCAAACAAAATATGTGTGATTAATCTAGAACCAACAATATCTGAGAAGATATTTTGTCAGCCCATAATTAATTTCTCATAATAATACAAATAATGCATTATTTGTGTTAAGAAAAGATTTCAGTGATTTAATTGTCAAATAAACAGAACACCCTAATTAATACTAATTATGGGTATTGTCAACAAGAATTTTTCATGTTCAATACCGCACAAAATTCACAGAATAACAAATACACACATTTCTAGAGCAAATATGATTTGTGTCCATGTTCTAATGAATTTACACTGACTGTTAATAACTTTGGAGCAATGGAAATTTTCCTGAAAGCATAAATCTATAAATCAATGTATATATTTCTATTATATTTATCTTTTTAGTCTTCTAAATAAAGATTTGTTATTTAGAGATGCCAACCCCAAATACTCTGTATAATATAGTATGTGTATATGAATGGTACATATTTGAAGTATTGATGTGTACTATGCAATTATGCCATATCGGTCTTCAAATAGGGCTACACCAGTTTTGAGAGCATCTGGTAGTGCTTAAGTAGCAATATAGGTATTGGTTTTGGTAACCAACATTTCTGAAGTATAGGGACCCTGGGAATACAAAGAAATGAGTACTATCACATGCTCTGTAAACTAAAATACCCTATATTTATATGAATGAAAATACTGGTGGAGGTTTTTTAAAGCTACTGTTGACTGGCTATGTATTTGATTTTCAAGATTTTCTCAGAAACAATGTGAATGAGGAACATGTGATAATTGATGTCAAGAACATAGTCTCCAACCATCATACGAATCTGTTCAGTAGGACTAGATTTAAATAATTGAGTGTCTTGAATATAGTTTAGTTTGCTCTCCTATTATACTATTAATAAAAATTGTAAAATACGTTCTAATGAAATTTAATGAAAAATAATTACAAATTATATAAAAATTACACAAATTAAAGAGTCAAGACATTATTTTGTTGTTTAACAATTATATTAAATTATTACCTACTGTTCATTTTGTTACCTCATATTTTTCATCCAGAGCAACTATTAAACGCATTTATAAAATCCACCACAATGTAGCAATTTCTGAAGTCTGAGAAACAATGCTAAATACAAAGTCATTACTTAAAAAGAAAATCAGTAAAGAAAATGAATGACTCAAAAGAAGGAACAAAAAATTGACATATGTTGTTCATTAATAAATCTTGTTAACATTAGGTAATTATTAATCTTGGTAATAAATATATTACGTGACTCCATACCAACAATTCTCATGAACATTTCATTCTCATTCCAAAGCAAGGAAAGAGTAAACATCAGTGCACTCAATCATATTGATATATAGATGATTATATTATTTAGTTGATTAATAGATTCAATAATTAGTGTTTCATGAATCAAAAATATCATCATGCTTATTCATTGCTTTTAGTTTCTTTTATTTAATAATTTTTTGCTAACTTTAACCTTTTAAGAACATCATGGTTCAAAGAGAGAAATTGTAGAACATAATTTTGACGATATTATTTATAACAACTAGTTACAGTAATCAAAATCAAAAGATATGACACTCCCATTCTTGAAAAATATTGTATCTAGTATTTCATGAAGTTGAACTTCGCCTTCAAACACTTTCTTTGTAAACTGACAAGTAATTACAATATGTGATCATAAGTTAGCCTGAAAAAGAAAATAGTTCACATTAAGAAAAGAGTTTTTGCAGTCTTTTAAGAAACTAAAAGATCAAAATTTCTAAAATTACATGTGATAAAGTATTTTACATACCAGCCTCGATGGCCAAGGTTGCTAAGGCTGAAGATCCTTATGCCTGAAGTGTCATTGGTTTGAATCGCGCCCGGGTCATGGATGTTTGTGTGTGTTCGTACACAGTTACCATTACCCTCAATGTTACTTACAGTGGTCATTATATGACCTTAGTAGTTGAAAAGCAACCTTAATTAAGTAAAAAAACCGGAAGTGTATCATAATAAAAATGCTAGTAGATAATGAAGGGTACACAATTTAAAATTCCTTAATCTCTATAGGTGTGACACATACCATCAAATTACAACTAAGGGCCACTGTTTTGTTTCTTTTCTACAATATCCCCTTTAATTATTCCTCTAATAACCCAGGGGTTTTACCGAGCATACATACATATTTCTGCTTTCAAATTGATGAAATAGTCCCTAAAAGGGATTTTTTTTTTGGCGACCTATTCTTGTATCCAAGTATACATACGTGAACTATCTTTAATTCTGGCTCTAAAGCTGATTGCAAATCAAGAGCACATTATTATGCAAGATCTTATAGCAGACTTGGAATAATTTTCTTTTTAAAATATGTTTTACTTGGCAATTTACTTTTAAAGTTCAGGAATTTCATTGAAAATCTATATTCAAAAGTTACAAAATACAGATGACACTGCCACAAGTCAACTTTAAAAGCAAACTTTGGGAGTAGAACTGTCTGCCTCAAGGTATCTTTTCCATGTTCAACATTCAACATATGAAATTCAATGAAAAAGTGCAAACTAAAGTGACTGTTTAAAATGTCACCCAAGAGGAACAGTTGTTCCAGCCTTTTGAAGATATGTAACATGAGGAATTCAAACCAATTCTGGAATGAATGGGTATCAAACTGCCCACTGGTGAATTGAAAATATAACTAGATTTATAGAGCCCCTTTGCACCCGCTTGACATACATATTTTGAGTTATTTCCGCAGCTACATTCCCATACATCCTTATTAATGATAATTTCTTGGTGGGATTCTTTATAATTTTTGGCGTATGCAACCTCTTCTCCCAATAACTTAATTCATCCCTGGATCATCTATTAAAATACTTTTATCATAATTCCACCTTTGCTCAGTTGGAATCCTTTTAATTCAGTATTAAAAAAGGCATTTACTTTTCTTTTGTTCTTGTTATACATTGCTTTAACCAAAAACAAAGATGAAATAGGTGGCCTACTGTTGTACACAAAGTTAAATTTTTTTGTTTTGTTGATATGAGAATGTAAACCAAGTATTATTTAAAATAACCCACATTCACATTTTATTACCATAAATTCATGTAACAAAATACAGACCAGATTCTTGAAAGAAGTCAAAGTAGTAACATCAAATGAGATGATTTTTACCTTTTTTTAAAAAACATGTTAACCCAGTCTGTCAGAAACTGTTCAATGGCAACTGACCAAATGACAACAAACCTGCGCAATGCCTAGTATCTACAAAGTATGACACCTGTACAAGTTTTGTTGAAACCAGATGTTTCTCCTAGGGGCTGATAGAGAACCTTATCATCTCTTAAACATGTTGGGTCTACAGCTACAGCTATAGACCCAACACGTTTTTTTAAAAGTTCAAATACTGTATGATTTACTGAAGGTACAGCTTTTTCATTGTTGTACAAATACATTTCTTGAAGCCTAGATTTACCGTACATGAAATTCTGTAAATACAGTGCAATGATTTTAGCATTTTTTTTTTTATGTTGAAGATGTCTACTGGCCCTTTTATTGTTTTGAAAACCTAAATAATTTTATTGTCTGGAAGGGGTCTGGTCTCAATTAATCTGGATTTTCTATTTTCTACTGTATATGTCAAAAATATGTATGCACTGATGTCACTTTTTATCTATATTAAGCATATTGTATTATTATTATTTACATAAACTATTACCTTTTGTGAAGTCATGAATATAATCATACGAAATAATCTCTTACACTTTTCTTTTAATTGATGGAATTTAAATAAATTTCAAATAATGGGTGAAAAAGTACTACATTGTGAGAAATTTTAAATTACATTTCTCAATAGTTCAGAGCATATTAATTCTAAGAACCAGTAATAAATAGAAAACACTAGAATTATGTGAAATATCAGCAGCATAAACAGAGTTGAACTCTAGTCAACTTATACTTTCATATGTTACATTTTAATAGTTTCCATTTTAAAGATCATTTTTAAAATTATTATTTACTAATTGCAATAAATCTTGAACAAGTTTTTTTATTGACATGAAAGTTTCCACATTCACTCTCAGCATTCCCTATATACACTATCCTAAATACTCTACAGTTCATTTTTGTTTATTTCAAAACTTTAAAAATATATTCCACATAAAAGCAAGTTTCATGAATTCCCCATAATGCTCTTTAATCTTCAAAAAAAAAACAACGTAACTTCCACTGGTTCTTGATAGTGTGTATTCACAAATATGAAGCACACAAAAAGACAGCATTCTTTTCCTTATACACTACTTCATTTTCCTCTCCTTAATGAATCTATTCATTAGATCACTGCTGGTAAAACCATATTCAATCTACTTGATGCCATAAAATGACATGTAAAGAATTAGACTGGACAAGAAGTAAAAATAACAAGGGTTTAAATATAATTTCTTGTGCATTGTATTGTATTGCATTGTATTGTATAAGTTCCTTTTAATTGTTTGTACACATTATATAAAATAAATACATTTAACCAATAAATCTAGTGCATTGTCCGTTCACAGCATTGTTATTTCAAAACTCATGTTTGTCTATTCAGAACTCAACAGTTTTCCCAACAGAAGAAGTGACATCTGTTTACAGTAGCATTTGAAAAATTTGACATGGTTGATCTCAAGTAAAGATACAAGGGATTTTAAGGGAGTTTAAGTTGATCTCAAGGAAAGGTTTAAGGGTTGTCATAATGTTTTAGCAATCGACAGAAATTTCAATCTTCTGTGCATGTGCAGTTCGAGTTTGACATCGCTTTTAAGCATCTGCCCATGTGGAGAAAATTGATAATGCAGTATTTTATGCTGTGCTTAAGCTCCCTAATATATACACCACACTAAATTTTTTTCCAGACAACTGGTAAGATACAATTCCTGTCAGGGTATCTAATGAATTTCTTTATGCCAAATTAGCCAAGAATCTAATATTTATGGTAATATTTAAACAACATAATGAAGCTAGATTTGTTTGGGCAGAAGTTCCAACGTAACAAAAAATATTCATTCCTGCGTAACAAAAAAATATTTGCATTAAATGATCTGTCTTGATTTGATTAATATTGCCATTAAAATCCCATCCCAGGGTTTTTACACCCTAAGAAACCACAGAAAGTATTACTAGCTCAATCGGAGAACGTGTTTGTAAAATTGTTCTTTTTAAAATACTATATTTTTGAAAATTCCAAATATCACATAAATCCTTGATGAAATTTTTAAAAAATTGCAATTTTAAGGTAACATTTTGGATTGCAAACCTACTTATGTTTTTTCTCTTCTGTATTTATCCAAAATTTGTGAGCAATCACTCCAGTGGTTCAAAAGCTTTTGTGTAATATTTAGGTAGGTATGTTGTTTGTTGTATGGTTGTGAGTATGGAAGGGGGTAAGCACCATCTCTCCACATTGCTGAGCTATACAATTTTTTCCTACACCATTCTCAAACATTTTGGGTCTTTAAACTTGAAAAACCCAAGAGACAAATGGTCATAACATAACTCTGGAAAGGTACTATATTTGCATCATCTTGTCATTGAGATAATGCAAAACCATGAGCATTTTCAATGCTGGGAATAAGATAATCGCCAATCAAAAAAAAACAACTGAAGTATTAATTTTACAGTTTTTATTTCCACTTTTCATACAAGTAGGTAGTTTCAACAAGTAGTATGTTGCAGTTTTACTCTCTAAGGTTTTACACAAAGCCAAAGTAATATATTTAACAGATTCAGAGAAAAATTGAGCCATTGCAAAATAACAGTTCATTGAAAATTTTCCCTGTTAACTGAAAATGTTTCTTACATGTTATTGGTAAAATTTTAAATTTGAACCAAAACTATAAAAACACAAACTTCATTCCTTATTCCAGACATGTACAAATTTCCTGCATTTGGAATGAAAACATGTTGTATTTACTATGTTCTAATATGCCTTGTAACATGGCTCCAGTTCTGAATTCCAAGAATATATAAGACTTTTTATGCACAATAAACAATTTGACATTAATAATGTTGTAACTAGAAACTTTTGCCTTCATCATTTAAATAGATATATATTTTATTTTATTCAGAATTAAATAACACAGACTTATCAGATGAATGATCAGACACAAAATATATGGTTTACATTTTAACACTTTCTTTAGTGTTAAATAGGAACACATTTAGTAAACATTATGGCTATGATAAAATATTTTCATGGTAACACCACACCTCAGTCTTTAAGATTCTCTTTTTAATTTTTGGCATATGGCACTACATCTTTGGTGACAATATATGACAGAAAGCACAGAATTACATTCATATTTGAACATACAGTTACATGTGAACAGATAGACAACATCCAGAAAAAAGGGGGGGGGGGGGGGCACAGGTGAAGAGAAGATACATGAGGGGCTGAGGGAGAAGGGGGAGGGAGAGATCATTTACTGTATTAGTAAGTAAAATACTACACAAGAAATGTAGAATAAGTACCCCGAAATGTTGAAGATGTTAATAATCATGTAGTAGTAAGATTTTATAATGTGTAGAACAGTACAAATTAAATATAAATGTTCAAAGAAAAGAGCCAAAATTACACGTTAATACCAAAAATACTGAAACACCGGCCCTTTTGACATTCACATTCAAAAAAAATCTTTGCAAATGTGAATGGAAATTAATTTTTAAAGAAGCATCACACTGAAAAGTAAGCATATTACTTACAGTCTAATCATCAACAGATAAAGAAGTCTTACATCATTATGGCAATTTGTCCAAATATTCTGGGAATGTAATAAAAATAAAATAACATAAAATAAATAAAATTTTAAAAATATGTTCACATCATCTTTCAAAAATCTATTAGCATAATAATTAATAATTTAGAAGTATCTCATTTCAATTTAATAGTGTAAGTGCTGTCTACACAGTGTGATTCGATGTATGACTGAAATTTATTTCATTTCCAATGTGAAGTGAATGCAATGTTACTAATAAATCTCTACATCTGATTTTCCCTGCAACACCACTGAAATTTTAGCAGCCTATCGAGTTCTCTGATATAACACTTGCATACTAAATCATGGTATTAAAGAACAAACACTGAGGGAAATTACATGATCTCAAATGCTGGTAACACATCGCTGAGAAAGTGAGAGAGGATATTTGAAACATACAGTGCACATATCTGAACTTTTACCTTTCATATAATAATATTGCCTCATTTCTTGTTATAATTTTATCCATTATATCCTATTTCTTACGTTCATTTCTCTTGGAAATCCTGGCTAAACATATGACTATTAGCCGCATGGCCATAGTGGAAATGGGGAAAGATGGGGGAGTGGAGGAGTGGAAGTGGGAGGAGTGCGGAGTGGGAGGAGTGGGAGTGGGAGGAGTGGGAGTGGGAGTGGGAGGAGGAGGAAAAATATTGCACCTAGTCCATAGTCAATCAAGGATGCACGTGGAATTGTTTCACATGATTTGGGAATGTTGAGTTGTAGGGTAACAAGCGCTGCCTTTGTGACCACATCCTGAAGGCAAAGCACAGGTAGAGTATGACAAATTTGGACCAAGAATGCCTGGTCAGAAACTATAAACTTCACAATTGGAAACTAAAACAATTTTCTTGCCGTATCTACCACAGCCAATTCCCCACATTTGGGAATGTACATCAAACCACTATCCTGACAACTGTATACATCCATAACACATGAATAACTGAGATCGTGCAGTTTACTACATGTAAGAGAGGTCATTATTATTCTCAAACTTTTCTTTCCCAACAAAATACCCACACTATTAGATATGATAAACCCAAAACAATCTAATTAGAAACCCAAATATCCAAATCACAGGAACTAAAGAACAAATCACGGTACTTATTTTATCAATTATGAAGAGACAAATATTCATTGCGGAAAATCAAATTGGCTCTCCGAATCATGTACATATACCAAGTAACTGGAAGTGATGACACAAAAAAAGCCTGAAACAAAAATTCAAATTGAAACGCTGACTATTCAAAAATAAATTATAGCTGAATGAGGAACACACATTTTGACATTAAAAAAATAGTTTTGAAATGCATGGTATTTATAACATGGCACCATACCATGCTTTTTCTAATATTCTTGAATATATTATATCAATATGATTGGTATATTTCAGTATAACCACCATCGTTACCTACCAAAACATTCAAAAAATAAATAAATCACTGGCCCTGAATAATACATTCATATCTTTAAAAAAATCTTCATATTCTGGGACTTTTGCAAGTTCTAACACAACATAGCCAGTAGTTTTCTGGTCAAAAGTAGTTTAATTAAAACTACCACATTGATTACAGTTCATAATTGTGGCACGTTTTCTACTTTCCCTATACGAGCACATAGTGCAAAGTTCTCTAATGCTGGGGAAAATAGATAAATAAATAAATAAATAAATTAATAAATAATTAATTAATAAGTTAAAAAATACAAAATAAATTGATAGATTTTGATCGAAATATATTTTGGGTGTTCCTGATGTTGAAAAAGGGTTTCCTTTTTTTTTCTTGTCCGAAATGACTTCCCATCAACATGTATTATTTCTAAATCGTAATCAGAATCCCCAAACAAGACTTCTCATAGGTCAGAATCTTGAAGCTATTCTAAGTCAGCTCACCATGGAGATCAGTTAAAGACCTAGTATGAGCCGATTTATTGGGAGTGGGTTGAGTCCCGACTGCCTGTCTAGAAGAGTCTGAGGCCAAAGGAAGTGTGTTTGGACATACAAGGTACAGAGACCTCCCATCTGTCACCAGGGCTCACCAGTGTTCTTTGTGAACTACCTAGATCATGTTTACCTACAAACGTCTGGTGTCAAGGAAGAAGTTGGAAAAGCATGCACAGCAAATACAAGGGTGGGTATTCAGAGAACGTCAGTGTGGAAGAAAAGAGTGAGAAAAGAATATAGGTGACATGAAAAGAGAAGCAGGTAGATGAAAGATGAAAGGAACACACAAGAATCTTCTCTGCACATGCTCCCCTACCCCACAAGGACGTGGACCAACCCACTTCAACGGGAATGTTGGCTGAAACTTTTGTCTACTTGTAATGTGCAAGTGAAAAACAAAACGCAATTTTATACCATAAACGTTATGTCTTTAATTACTGTAAGTTTTTACTACTACGTTTCACTCACAACTACATTCAATTGTAGCAAGAGATCTCAGAAGATGGTTGAAAAGGCAGTCCCTGACAAGCTATTCGGAAGAGAAGTGAGGCGATTGTTACTTCCATTGCTGTTCTATTCGAGTTGATGTGTTGGCGTGTCTTCTTTCTTTGTGAGGCCTTTTGTAACAGAGGCCTAAAGATGGCTTAGAATAGTTCTTTCACATTTTATGCACGATACCAAGCTGCACAATAATCCGATTTCCAAACAATGCAAATATCTTAATATACCTGATCCGACATATGGAGGCTCAGCCGGAATCTGTTCTGAATTTGGGGTCGGAAGTTTTGTGCAGTTAGTGAAGTTCAACATTGAGATTGCAAATTTGAACCAGATTTCATCCGAGATGACCAGTAGCAAAGAAAGGAAGATGAGGAAAGCAGACGCCTAAATAAAAGGAGCATAGATAGTATAGTCCCATGTCGAGCAAAGAAGACAAGGACTGCTCGAAATGGTTGATGAAGCAGTTGAAGGAGACCATAGAAGAATAGGACATAGGACTGTCAACTACAGTGGACCAACAGGGGCAGATAAAACCAAGGCTACCAGACAGAACTGAAATTTCTTAACATCAAAGATGATGAAAAGCCAGGCAACTAAGAAAGAAAACATGGATAGGGATAGACGAATGTTGATAGATGAGGAAGACTGACTGACCTTCCATTCAGTAGGCTCACGCAGAAAAATGATGGGGACCTGTCCGAAAGCAAATAAGAATAGGGCTTGCCACTTTTCTTAAAAAAGGGGCAGCCAAAGCAAAAAGACGATCACGTACTCCACGACGGGAATGCTGCCTCAGTGATGGACAAAGAAGGACGTCACACATGGTCACCATGGGGCGATAGTGTCACACCAAAAAATTGATATGAGAGTGAGGAAGTCTGTAAGCTCCAGTAATGTAATATACAAATAGCTATATACACAAAGTGCATGCTGGAGGATTCTGCAAAGAAATTTATGTCGGCACAAAAGACATCTAACTGGAATGCCTTCAGAAGTACGTTGTGTCAGGAGTTCACCATCAGTCAACACTGAGACACCTAATGCAAAGGCCCCAGCTGATGATGTGGCAGAGCTTCGTGTTTCTGAATGCATGGCAATGACTGAAATTTACACACCTGAACCTTATAAAGGCCAGATTCACCAATCAAGAGCTAACTAAAATTAGATGAGGATATGAAGGCTGTCCTACTGAAGATCAACTTAAAGGATAAAGTGCCAATCAATTTAGCACACCGAAGATTGGAGGGAAAGGTGTATTGTGAAAGAGGAACTCTAACAATGGCTGCAAGACCGTATAGCAAGACCAAGCGAAAGAGAGTATTCTAGACCAGTGATTATTGTAAAAAAGAAAGAGTTTGCATAGGATTTGTATGGATACTAGGATGCTTAATAAAAAGTTTGTACATGGTCACTTCCCAATGCCAGTATCAAATGATGTAATTGATGACATATGATGTAATCTAACAGTTTAAGATGCTGCATTGGTATGGCATACCTAATGAATATACAACAAGAATTAGCTGTGTACTCATTCCCCAAGGGCATAGTGTTTTCCTACACATTGAAAAACATGCACAGCGCAACCCCAATAATATCAGGCCGCCACACTTGCCTATCTCTAATATTCATAACACTGGCTAACTACTAAAATGTTTTAGCGCTGAGCTTATCACATGTGGTTTTCTTGCCATCTTGACCTATTAAGGCTGCTTCAACAACTAAGATCATTGGCACCCGTATAAACTTATTTTAAGAACAGTGACAAGCTAAAACATTCTAAGAAGAATGCAAAGTAAAATGTAAACAACAAACCAACAGAATATGAGTGTGTCCACTGGTAAAAAAGCCGGATCCAAGTAAAAGCAATATTAATTGACATTATCCTCTTCTCTCAGATACGGCATAAATTCTATTCTTTTGCAAAACGCTTGCAGAGAGAGAGATTTCGTCATTACTACACATTGAATGTTTAGGGAAGTGCCTATTTTATTCTAGCGAACTTATTTAAATGTTGATAAATGTCCACAAATCATGACAAATGATGACACTATGTTTTATAATGCTTATCTTTTTGCGTTTTTAGCATAAATGCATTTTTTTGTATAATACCTCTTTTATAATTAATGGCCTTTTTTGCCTATGTATTATTTTTAAATACCATAGTAAGATATCAAAAAATCGGGGATGTTCCAATGTAACCATTCATTACGAAATTATTCAATTGAAGTATTTGTATTTTAAAATACATGAGAATTCTTAAAAGCTAACGCAATAGATTTATCTCAATTTCCCTATTTCATATATGTGAGTATTGTTCACAAAACATAGTTGATTAACAATAAACTGAGGTTACTGAAATTTGAAAAATTTATTCCCAGAAGGTTTTAGTTTTTCTAATGTTCGACTTTAAAATATGAGCCAGCCAATATGAGCCACGTTAGTAGATTTGAGAAATCAGCCTCCGCATTCAAACTGATCTTATCTGCCAATCATCGCAAATGTGAAATCAAGATCCTTGGAAAGTTACTGGTAATATATTGCAATGCAAACTATAGTAAGAATAAAATATTGAAGAATTGTAAATATGTAAATTTTGCATATTTACATATAATGATGCAGCAATAAATGATGATTTTGGTAACAGAAGTTCATTATCAAAAGATCATCAGAGAGGAACGACACATTCGAGAGTGATTTTGGAAACCACTGCAGATCACTACTTCCCCTAATGACATCGATTCAGCTAACTTAACTGTCTCCAACAGCACATATTTCTCTGCAGTATAATCCTGCATGAAGAGTATATTCAATAACTGTGCATGGCGCTATTGCAGTAGAACGCACACCCTACTTTGCCATTTTGGGAGGAACCACCAGAGTGGATGAAGTTATAACCGGTATATACTCATTATTTCCTGAAATTCCGCCAGAAGTGTACTGGGGAGTCAAAAATTTAGAAATGTGTAACAATCTTGTCCAATATGGGCCAGAGAAGTTCCATGGGAACAAGACTCGTGTGTGCGTGTGTGTGTGTGTGTGTGTGGGGGGGGAGTGTCCCAGGGATGGGCAATTTCCTATTAAGCTTCTGCAAAAGATTATAGAGAGGGAGATTCGGGGGATGGTGTAACAATAGTCTGAGTGTGTATGACGGCTGGTGACTTATGCGAAGCACAGCTTGGCATGATGAAGTATTGATAGCGGATAATTTTTCACCATGGGTGTCAATCACAATAACTCTTCCTCGGCTCCGATGGTTCTCTAGCCTTGCGCAACAAGCGTTCAATGTGACTCATGCGATAGGCGGCTGTACTGATACCTATATAGGCATTGTGTACGGTACTCTTTGGACGGAGGGTCGATGGAGACACTGCCCCATACACAATACATCCATAATCCAAAACAGGACGGATGAGGGTCCTACACAAATGCAAGAGACATGATCCCATGATCTACCAGTAAGGTGCGAAGAAGATACAATGATGATACACATTGGCTCTTCAGTTTACAAATGTGTTTCCGCCATTTCAAATGTAAGGCCAAAGAAAATTGGAGATTCAATGAAAGAATGTTGATAACCCATCAAGGAAGTCACAATGATTATGGAGATGATGAATCTTGCAGAAGTACATTTGAGGTGGAGAACTTGAATCCACTTTCAGTGTTCCAGTCTTGCAAATTCGTGAAGACAAGTTGTAACAGCCTCTCAATGCTCTTGGAGCTTCAAAACTAGCGAAGTTCACAACAAAGAGCAATGCTTTCACACACCCTCCAATTAGTAACGCTACACTATTACAAGCAAAGGCAGAGAGACTCGCAGAATTGATCCTTGACATTGTTTTCTAACTGGTGACTGGAACTGTCACCAACGACAGCAGACGTGGAACAATCTCAAGGAAAGAAAGGCTTCTGAGAACAATGGAAGATGTCCCCTACGTTTTCAAGAGGGTGAGGTGAGAAGAACACATTTTCATTTAACACAAAAATCTCAGTCTTCAATATTATATTTGTGCAATTTTTGAATATATATAGTTTGCTGGAGACAGGACAAGCACAACTGTTTTTTTTTACCGTCCTTTGAAAAAATATGAAGAGAAATTTTCAACAAACAATTTGGAGCAGATTTTGAAAATCCCACTGTTTAAAATTTTCCTAACCAATTTCCTTTTCCTTTTCATGCAAAATCACTAAACTACTAGTAGTTTGGAAAAATAGTACTTTCAAAATCTGTCCTTGAACAGATTTCATTAAAGAAATAATTTCTACCTTTAATTATAATGTCGTAGGAAGACACTTCAAATTTCTAACTTTTGCAATTTTCAAAAACTCAGGGATATCAACAAACATACCAGCAAAAATTTAGAAAACGAAGTAGGGACTTCATGTACAGCACTCTTAAAAATTAAAATATCATTTTGAAGCTAGCAGAGCTAGCTCAGTCAATTGGGGAATATGAATTTTGGAGAAAATTGTCAAACTGTTTAGGCACTAGCACCGACCATAAACAGACAGATGGACAGATACACCTGCCGTCAATTAACTTTTAGGAATCAAAAACCAAGAAAACATGACTGACTTGTGTTAGGGGAAGTAATTCACTTCCTGTAGGAAAAAGATTCACTTCGCCCGGCCTGTCCCTGTCAAAATAATCACCATTTTCCGAAGCACAATTCCAATACTTTTTAGTCTTACAAAATAAAGTGAGAAAGTAAAAAGGTATCTATTGCCAAAAAGGAAACAATTCCTTGCATCGAAAGCAATATCAGCAAGGTTCTGGGTATTTACCATATACTTTTTTAGTAAAACAAAGAAACAATGGTGAAAATGGAAATGAAAATGTTCTTACCTGTATTCCATGAAACCAATAACCTGTTGAGTAGGTGGAATATTTTAATGTTGCAAGAGCATTTTTAACGTAAGTCTCTGGAGTGGGAACAAGCAAAGAAGTTGATAAATAAGGGCTATATCCAACCATTCTTGTTTTTACATATGAAGGAATAAGAGTGTGCACAGTTATTCCATCAGGTTTCACTTCCGCATTCACTGCTTGTGAGAATGATGTCACATAAGCCTGCAACAAAAGAAGAATATTAATGCAATTCAATAAGAGGCTCAAATTGAACACTTAATGATATACAAAATTAAAGAGACTTTATACGACATTATTTTATATCCATTAGAAAATATCACTAAATGTTATGCCTTATTTCATTTACTTGGAGGCCACTTCACACAATCTACAAACAACACATCTTGAAAATTTGATTGCACTTGCAGTGAAAACCTAAAAGTGATAATTTCTACATGTATATTAAAACTGGAACACTACTTTTCTTTCACGTTACTTAAATCATAATTCTTTACATGTGTATTATAACAATGTCTTTAAAAACATATGACTTAAAATATAATATCACAATACAATAGCTGCTTTTATTACATTAACACAAACACTGTATTTTATCACCCCAACACAAACCAATTTTTGAATATGAAATAATCCACAAAAAGCCTATGATACATGAGTAACAAAGATTCAATGAGAAAGCACCACAACAAACATGTACACATGGAAACACAAATGTCAAAGAAACTGAACAGGAAACAAGGAGAGTTGACTGTCCACATACAAAAAATTACACAATCCAAAGTGCTGGAAATATTAATAGGGGATAGGCGATTCCACAAGCCTTCAAAATTCACAGTACAGATAATACTTTTTTGTGAGGGTTCTCAATCAATGTTTCAAGGCAAAATGTATTATAACTTAGTTACCACACAAAACTTAACATTCCCTATATCTAATCTACGATCCCTTCATCCAAACCACTAGCGCTGTCGTGATCCTGGTTCGAAAGGTGTGGCTAAAAAATTAAAATACTTATTTAAAACTTTGCACGAGACAAAACAAAATTTGTAACACATATCAATGAGCAATACACTTACTTCCAGGTGAGGCAGTAAAATAGGAAAAGTATAATCATAGATATAAAAAGTTACACGTTTCACTGCTCACATGAAATAAACACCAGTTAGTGATAAGGCACCTGGCCATCGAAACAGATGTTTTTCAAATCAGTTTCAATCTATTCTTTTCTAGAAACTGTTCTGTCATTTCATACATTTCATTTATTGTGTATAATTGATTTACTGTATAGCCCAGTCTGACTCGAGACAACATCCCAAGCAGCTCAGTGGAAAGCAGACCCCGCAATTTGCAGTTTGCAACAGAACTTACCGCTGTTGGTTTGTTTAGTTATAAACTGTGTTAAAATTGTAATATTAACTGTGATATCTACTAAATATTAAAACAAGTGGTGATACTAAATGTACGTGATTACGAATTTGTAAGTGGTGGCTTCAGCCATGCCATGGCTCAAGCCGTAGTATTCGTAACCATGGATTAATTCAATGAAGTTTCCACAAAACAATAGATAATGTTTCAGCAACAGCAGTTAATGTAACAGCAAAACCTAACACAACAGCCGCAAATATTACTTTCAGAACAAAAGCTCTCACAAAATCATCTGCAACAGCAGCCTCAACAAATGGAGCAATCAGTAACTAAGTGAAACTCAAGCCAATAATTCAAGTGCATCTCAATTAAACAGTACAAGTAGTGCCATTAATTATAAAAGCAAAAATAATGCGAGGCAAAAAGTTATTTTTAGAATCTCAAGTAATTGTTACACCAAAACTTGGTAAACCCATACAAGACGTCTCATCATATAGACCTATCAGTATATTACCTACAATCTTGGAAGGCTTTTGAGGAACTGTTTTTGCAACGCTTAAACGACCACATAAATGAAAATTATCTTATAACTAGTTATCATTTTGGATTCAAGAAATCTCACTCCACAATCGAACAAGTACATAGAATAGTAATTGAAATAAATAAAAGCTTGGAAGAAAACAAATACTGTTCAAGACACCTTCATTGACATTGCCCAAGCTTTAGATAAGGTGTGGCAAACAGGTCTTTTATGTAAAGTCAAAAGCTCATTACCATCAGAATACTTCGTCATTTTAAAATCATACTTCTTTGAAAAAATTTTTTCAACTGAAACATCAAGAAGCATACAGCACAATATTCCCCGTTATGTCTGTCGTGCCCCAAGGAAGCGTCCTGGGTCCTGTCCTGTATTTACTATACACAGCAGTTATTCTAATATCTGAAAATATCACCACTGCAACTTATGAGAACGACACAGCAGTTCTAACTTCTCGTAAAGTTCATGAAAAAGCCTCACAATTGCTTGATCAACATTTAAACAAATTATCAATGGAATTCAAAAGGTAAAGAATTCAAATTAACAAAACAAATTCTTCTCATGCAACTTTCAACTACAAAAAGAAAACTTGCCCCAAAATTACAATGAATAATAAATTATTGCCACAGGCACATATTGTTAAATACTTAGGAATGAACCTTGACAGACTAATGTGAAAAAAGCACATAATCACAGAAAGGAAGGAACTCTAGTTCAAAACTACTTACTGGCTACTGGGGCACAAATCAACTATGACTCTTAAAAACAAGATATTGCTATACAAAGAACAGTTAATTCCAATTTCAACATATGGTATCCAATTATATGGTACTGTAAGCCACTTGAACATCAATATCCTACAAAGATTTCAATCTAAATTGCTACACACCGACGCAAATGCCCCTTGGTATATCCCTATTATCCCCTTATACAATCTTTCACAATGACCTACAAATAAAAACCATTAAAGAAACACTAAACAGTTTTAAGTTGCAGATACCATTGCAGGCTTGAAATCACCCCTAATACCTTGCGCTCAACCTACTAGACAACAGCCAAGAAATCAGAAGACTGGCACAATACACACCACTTGATCTCACATCCAGATTAAGTTGAGTTACCACTGGGCAACTTCACTGTAGTAATTATAAACTTATTGTTTTTGTTTCTGTATATTAATAAAATTCACCTAAAGTTCAAATAATAGAACTAATTGTAAATAAAGCAAAATTAAGAGAAGAAAAAAATAATTTATTGTACATGAAAACGAGTGTCTGGCGAAAAAGATTGAGTGGAGAAGAGTGTAGGGAAAAAAAAAGTGAAGAAGTATTAAATGAAACCCCAAAACTTTATATGTTTTTTTCCAAAATCTAACAAAGAAATTTGCTTCACAGCAGAAAAAAGGTTTGCTAATTTTTGAAATACACATTTTTAAATTGAAAACTCAAAATAATGCGATGTTTCATATATTTATATTTATTTGTTCCCTTATTACTTGGTATGAAATCATTATCGTCAGTGAACATAGTCTCGAAAATATTATAGTACTGATTTACCTACCTCATCATGTATTGAAAATTTAGCTCTACTTAAAATGAACATCCAGTCATATCGCAATTATTTTCATGAAATGCTAAACACTACAACTGTGCTTGCCAATCCAAGCGATGTAGATGTGGATTTCCCCCCGACCTACACGCAGGCAAAGAAAGAAAATTATATTTAATTATGAATGTGATGATAAGAGTGCAAACGATTCAGAAGACAATTTCCATTTCCAGGTACATTTTTTAATAATATTATAGACAGTTTTATCTATTGTGGAATGGTTTCAATTGCTTAAAGAGCAAAGTGATATGTTTTATTTTTTATGACTTTAACAAACTAGCAGAAATGAGTAAATCAGACATATCAAAAAATTGTATGGATCTAGAATTAAACTTGACCGTTGAAACTGTTACAGATAATCGAAAAAATATAAAAGCAATAGAACTTGAAGATGAATTAAATGTAATCACGAAATGTCTCAAATCAAAATCCTCACAAAGTGAAGTATTAGAATTTACATATCAAAATAAACTAACTGGGTGATCCCCTGGGATCAACTGGGTGATATTACCATGATATTGCAAATAATATTAACTTTTCAAGCCACAATGGCCACAGGAGAAACATTTTCAAAATTAAAAATTATTAGAACCTTCCTACAACCAACCATGTTACAAGAATGGTTAACAGATCTAGCAATGATATCAACAAAGTAAAATCTGTTCCAATATTAATTTAGAAAGTATCATAAAAAAATTTGCAAGTTTGAAAGTTCAGTAAGTGCCTTTGTAAAATGTTATACTATTGTATTTGTACACTTAATTGTATATTATTGTACGTTTTATATTGTACAGACATGTGTTTTATATTTACTCATTTATTAATAACGCACAAGTGCCTTGTGGCCTCTACTCATTTGCAGGCTTGCGTCTTTTTCACCTGCTGTACCCTCATTGTCGAGGGGCAGCCAGGGGGTTCCTGAAGGTTGTGGACTTCCCTACCTTTTATATATTTATTTATTAAAAAATAAAATGTCAATAAATACTATTTTAAACAACTAAACTTTTCTATTAAAAGTATGAAATTTTAGAATTCCTTTCTGAAAAGTGGCAAAATATACCTGCACCAGGGCAGCAAACCATTGCGTGACGGACCTTCAATCTACAATCCAGACTACAATGTAAAACAATAAAAAGTTGGAAAGTGCCCTCACAACATTCAATTTGAAGTGGAAACATACAGATAAATAATGCAGACCCTAGGTTGGATGCAGTGTGCATCAGAGCAGTAACAGGAAGCCAGTTTAGTGCACTATTGCTGTGGCGACTTCCTGCCTCTCTCACAACATCCTGATGTACAGAGGAAAATCTAACATCAAGTACAGCTCCACACAGACAATGTGGAACAAAAGTGTCATCTAGAGATGGTATTTTGCATTGAAGGGTTACCGAGAGAATTTTATATTTACAGTGGTAAATCACATCTGTTATGAATGTTTGAATGATATCAAGAATATAATAATATTGTAATAAAATAAATCACAAAATTCAAGCATCAAAAGTCCTATCATGTGAACATTGTGATATGAAATTTGAGTAATTATAGGTTTCACTGATTTTTAGATCCAACAGCATATATGTTCTGGTAAAGGATGTTTTTTAAGAACGATCTTACCATTCACAGGAATTTTGCCAGTTGTGAAAGTAGTTTAAAATCGTAAAATGAATTACATTGGTAGAGAACTTAACGACAGTAATGTTATTGTTTCTATGTGAAACTATCAAACTGGTACACCATTAACATCGATAGTACATACTAGTTCTTTCCCCTCATTGCAATTCTACAGCAGGCAATGATGAAATTCTGCTGGTGGACAATACCCATAAAACAGTGAAATCTCAGTATGAATTGCATTAGAAAATCATTTTATTTATACTTTAAACATTTCTACTTTACTACCTGTATATTTTAACAGCAGCATTTTTTTTGCAACTTTAACTAATTTATTGTAAATAGTTCGCCCTATAAACAAAAATAAAGAAAAAAGTGTGTATCACTCCTTAAAATATTCTCTGATTGAAGTTGTTTTGCCTTTTTGAGAAAGATGCTTTCCAAACTGTAATAATGATTGAGACCTGAAATAATGATTTGAGAACAGGAAAATTCAGGAAATTTTATATTTTTCTGAACATATACTTTTAACTTTTCAAGACACTTCACTGCCTCTGTTGAAGAAACTGCTTCAATCTAGTCTTCCTTTTCTTCTACTTCTTCCTCCTCTTCATTACTTTCTTGTGATGTAGTTAAAGATTTAAAAATCGCTGTCAGGCAGTAACTTGCTTCAATACCAGCATCAATACTGACAATCATCAAATGTTACAGATGATGGAAGTTCTAACTCCTTTGCAATTTGTTCCCACATCTCTCTATGATCTTCAGAAGCCTCCACTTCTGGTGAAGCACTGTCTTGGAAACCCAAAATTCCTGACATTTTTTTAAGGAATTGGCAACTGTTGTTGCTTTCACATTCCACCAACCCCCTGCTAACATTTGTATCCCCTGTGGGATGTTGATTTTGGTTGAAAACTTCAATATAAAGTTGATTAGAATCCGCTGAACCAGTTTTTTTTTACGAACCTAGACCTTTGCATTATGAAAAGTTCTCTGGTCTAGTGGCTGCAGTACAGAAGCACAGTTGGAAACTAGGAGTTCAGTATTGATATTTCCCAACCTAAAGTTTACTTTATGAGCAGAGCAATTAAGATTTTTCTTTTCTGTTTTCCAATATCTTTGTCCACCACACAAAGCCAGTATGCCATCCATGCTTTCTTGTTGACTGTGTATTTTACTGGCAGAGGTGCCATACCTTTGAAACATCCAGGCTTTATGACATGTCCTACTACCATAGGTTTCAATTTTTCAGTACCAGTGGCATTACCATAAAATAATGATGTTAATCTTTCTTTTCCACTTACTCACTTTTCTCCCTTGCAAGACTGTTTTATTCGGCAACGTAACAAAATGCTTTTTCATCAGCGTGGAAAATATCTTTAGGATCATACTTTTCAATTATATTTTTCAGATTCTTCCTTCCACTCCTGGACAGCATTCATGTTCTTTCTTCTGTTCAGCATCTTTAGCATCCCCAACAATATGACAGTCTTGCAAGTTACGCCATATCACACATAAATTTTGAAATTTTTCTTTGCTTTCTAAAATTGTTGAAATTGAAGTCTGCGCTCTGTCATGCGCACATGCTCCCTCAACCTGCTACATTCCACAAATCTTTCTTTCTCTTGTCTCCACTTTCTGTTCTATTGTGTATCTTCTCCATTTCTCACTTTCCATCGCAATCAAATCAGGTCGCCATTTTTATGAATACCACTACTAACTACCACAAAATGCACTTAGAAAACTAACTAACACAACACTTGTATTTGCAACCAGATTGTTTGCTACAATTAACAAGATGTGAAACGAATTTCCAGAAGTTCATAATATTTGAAATTGAAATTGAAGTCAGGATCCCATCACGTGATCCAGAAATGCTAATGTTTCTATACTTTGATTTATTAGTAGTGGCACTTTACACTCAGCTGTTGCGGAGCAATCCAATGGCTGGTGTCACTAATGGCGTCATTATGGTGACATTGAAGCTCCCGATTGCATGACAGTAACAACTGATTAAACATCATGTGCCATTATAAATAAATCAAAGTAAATAGGTGCATGTTGTAGAAATAGTGGGTCCAGCACTTATAAAAGTGGTTGCACTTTTGCCATTTTATCATTTGAATATAGTATTTCATTATTAGCACCATGCAATATGGAAAAATCTTCCATCTATTGTCTCATTCTATCAAACTCAAGGTCATTATGACAATTTCTGATATGTTCCTAATACATTCTCCTTTGAGGCAAGGGAAAATGGCCAGTGAAAATTAAAATACAAATGTATACATATACACTGACATGTTTCTGCTGGTGGCTCAAAGTTGACAACCTGAACATTTATCAGGATCGTTACAGATTTTGACACCACAGACTTGGTGAGTTATATTTCCATCATCATCAAGTGCATCTGTGAAGATATCAACTTTAATAACATGATCAGCTTCAACAAATTTTTCAAGTTTTGCCAAGATTTCTTTACAAGTAGGCCCCATGGAATAGTTATAAACAGACCTGTGTAGGTAAGCATATAAGACATACGATTCAAGAAATTACAGCACACAAATTATAATTTCTCATAATAAAAACAACTTAACATTTCAATTATACTAAGCTTTGCAGATAACTTATTCAATCTTTCAGTTATGCATGTATACGCAAACTGTAATATCTTTACTAATCTAAACCGTAATATCGACCTTTCAGTTAGTCACTAACTCATACTAGAACCATTTGCATTCATCGTTATAAAGTTTTAACTAAAATGTCATTGCTTATAATTCATTATTACAAGTCTTCATCAAATTCTACAGAACAAAATTTTTTGAAGTGCTGAACATAATCAAACTGAAGAATTTCAGAGAGATTCATGCTAGTTTAAGGAGATGAGAGTAGCCTTCTAGTAGAGATTTTTGTTTCCGCTCAGGGATGACAGCATTTCCTTGTCCATACCATTGTACGTTTCTAAATGTACGATCATTTGATCATCATGATGGACGATCTTCATTTTCCGTAACGGATTCTTAAACAATTTTAATTCTTTACCAAATGATTTTCTTTTCTGTGAACTCATTTAACATAAATACGAAAAAGTATGTGCTGTTGGAGCATTGTTTTCGTGCACTCTTCACATGTAAAACGTGTTACAAAAAACCATTGATTGAACAACTGAATTACTCTACATGAATCAGAGTTCTTATACACCGAACAAAGGGCAAAAGAACTACTGCATTATCAGGGTAGAGAACCAAACTATGTACTGAGGATCATCATGGACGCTTTGCTAGCATCTTGGTGCTAGTTTGTTCGTTTCTTTTCCAACTACAAAACATTACTTAAATTCAAAATTTTTTACAGAAGTCTTGTCTCATTTTTATGTTTTAGTGTGTAGAACTAATGAAGCCTTAATACTTCAAATTGTATATAAAACCTTTACAATTGCTCTTATTATAGTAAATATTTTCTAACTAATTCTCACAAAATCTGTGCTCAGAGTCTTACCTTCATCTTATTTCCCATAACTATTCCAGTTTGTGGAAAATTTCGTAACATTTTGCTTCCATTTGCAACCCAAATTCTGAATATGAAGAACTTGTTTTCCTATTACCAGCCAACTATTTCCTGTACATATACAATGCTCATAAAATTCATCAGACACTATCAATTAACCATATTATTGACAATCTCCCGACACCATCATCAAACATCTTTTAGCATTAAGACTTTTAAAGCCAAAAGTAAGACAGAAGAAAGAGAAATGTAGTCATGGAATCACTGACGATAGTCTGTTTATCAGTTTAAATGATACAAAAGTTTTTTTTGTTTGTAATTTGCGAACTTTTAACAATTTTAGTATGTTGTATCAATCAAAAACTGATGATCAGAAAATACCTCCAGTAATCCACGTTCAGATGTTATAAACACTACAGAGTATCCAAAATCAATGCATGTCAGTAAAAGAAAGAACTGCAGATAATTTACAAACATTTTCCAAAAATTAGTATTTGCTGAGAAAACCATGAAATAATTATATGCGTCGTCATTGCCAACAATATTACTTATTAAAAAAGCAGCTTTCGATGGCTTAGCCATCATCATCAGTTAAGCCATCGAAAGCTGCTTTTTTAATACATAATATTGTTGACAATGACAACGCATATAATTATTTCATTAGAAATGCCAACGATAACTCACCACAACACCTATGAGAAAACCATGCTAGATAAAACAATTACAGAAACACTCGATGGCAATGATGGCAAGCTATGCTAATAACCAACATTCACCATGCTGGATACTTGGATTCTCATAACATTTCGCCAGTTGATAGAACACCATGCATAACCCACATATCCAAATTTTTAAGTGCTATGATTTATTTGAAATAAGTGTTTTTGAAGCATCTTGGGTCAAGCCCTTACATGACTCCAGCGGCCCCGGGCAGGTAAACTATTGTTTTGGCAGCACCAGGCACGAGATGTCCATCAACAGATTTCAGATTTCTAGCGTGTTCATTCTCTAAAGACTTATAGCAAAGGCCACATCAGATGGTCTCTTTTTAGTTTGAATCGCAAAGTGACACACATTCTAAATGATTCCTCTGAAGTCAGTTGTAAGGGTATCGCAAACCAATGCTATTATTAATATAACTGATAAACAAATTCACTTATGGTGAACTTGATGACCTAGACCGACTGATGACCACTCTCTATGATTTGACATTTTGTATTATTAATTGTATTTTTGTATTATACTCCATTAATGTGAAAATTTTGTTTCCAACTGAAAAATAAAATTTAAGTACTTATTTTATTTATTTATTATATATTGAGGTAATAATTTCACAGACCCATATTCTTGCAATTATTGCATTTTGATTATTAAAGCAAGTATTTCAACATTTAATCTGTCCAAATTTACCACGTAACCCCAATTTTCGTCACCCTGTCTGCACTCAAAAAAAAATTGACACCCTGAAGACAGATATACTTCGAATTTTTTAATGTGGCCCTTGACATAAATCAGAAAGAAAGAAAAAGAAAAGGAAAAAAAGGAAAGGAAAAAAGATACAGAAAAAGAAAGAAAGAAAGAAAGAAAAAAATAATCTTAGTATATGCTGATAGTGGCGGTGCGACACACACGTAACGACCACAGGCCCAGAGGCATGCAGCGATTCCTGGGCTTCAACAAACAGCAAGATCGCAAAAGGTCTTTGTATTAATTGCCGCAAAAAAACTCCTTGCAATGCTTTATAGCACTTAAAAATTTGTAAGTAGGCATTTTGAAAGGTGCTGAACAAGCTGGGAAAATTTCACGTTAACCGAAGTATCCAGCCAGAGAGTGTTACGTGTAAGATAGGCATGTAACTTTCAATAACGTATCTAGAATAAACTATAACCATCTTCAATTCATTAACGCTCAAGCAATTCATTTTATCCTCAAAATTTACAAAAAGGAAATTTCCAGTTCCTAAGTGTTTCTGTTGTTGATTGGGGACTTAACATGGGAGAGGAGAGAAATTACCAGGGATATGATAGAGACAAATTAGAATAAATTGTTATTTAATATGTTATTTTTAAATGACTAAGCACTGTGACTACATGCAATGCAAAAGCAATTTATCCTTAAAGATTCTGATATAGAGAAACTCCTCAAAGGAATTCATTAAATTTTCAAAAGGGAAGGAAGAAAAATCATGTAAAGATGAGCATTCTTTCAAGAACAGCAAGTACCAAGACCAGGAGAAAAAGGTTCACAAATGAAAGTGCCTAATCATAGAATCCTCCTCATAATTCAAAGATAGCCATAACCAATTTCTTGTTCTTACAGACAGTCCAACAAAGAATAGCATTCATATCCTCCATTTTTAATTTTGCAAGTAGTAACAGTACAGTAGAATTGTAAATAACAGATTTAGATTTGGAATAGTAGATGCACCCAAAAACAAAATTACTTGAGGACAGTGTAATTTATAATTAAATCCATCTAATCATAAAAATAGCAAAAATTATTTCATGATATTAATGACTTTAATACTATAGTTTCCATCCTTTAAATAATACACACTAGCTATGGATTGAATTTATTAATTTTAATGCACAATTTTGAAATTGTTAGAAGTAACCAAGACTTTGAGAACATCATATTCTCAGAACATATGTTTTGATAGATTTCTGTTTACATTCACTTCTCTGCCAGATTTGGTCGATCTAATATGTTCTGAAGTCACACTACCTTTGTGGCAGCATACACTTGGAGAAGAGGAGCAGGAGCAACTGATGCTATTGATGAAACATTGACAATTAAGCCCTTTTTCCTTTTTCTCATGTGGGTAACAGCTAATTTGGTCATTTTCGTCACTGACTGTATATTTACAATCAACATGCTCATAATTTCATCATCATCCATTTCATGTAAAAAGGAAGGGAAACTGTTGATTGTACCCACATTGTTTACTGAAAAATGAAAATGCAATAGGATTATTGTATATTATGTCAATCATTAAAATATTTCAGGATGAAATTTACTAGTAGTTAATACCACTATCCCTCATGTTTTACTGTGCAACTTGTGTGTTCATCATTTGCTGATGACTAAAAATTGTAACAAAAACTCCATGTTCATAATGTACTAAAAAATTGCACTCAAATAACATTCTCATTAAAGAATAGGTAATTGTTCCCAGATTTTTCATACATTTACAATTAATACAACTTCATCAAATCAAAATTCGAGAATATCCCAATATTTACTATGCATATCTAAAACTATGTAAATCTTAAAATAAAAAAATGTATTGTTCTTTACATAATTCTTGAAACACAAAAAATATCAAAGTTTAAGTATAAAAACAATCTTTAAAAATACCCCCACATAGTCATTAGCTCATTCACAACATTTTTTAGAGAAACCTGGATCAAATTCACAATATTTTCCAATACAATTTTCAGAAATGAAACAAACAGCAAAAAATTCATATTAGACAACTACCAATTATTCCTGACAAAGGTGATGATACAAGGCATGATCACTAAAGAACAAAGCCGTTTTCAATAAATCAGCTTTAAAGAAAAACAAGAACACACAAAGATTCCTAAATTTCTGTTAAAACTTTGAATAACTAATTATAATTTTACGAAAATCTCTTCTAAATGAAATTTATTTCCAGGAAACAATTCCAGGAGTGTCCATAAAATTATTTAATAAGAAACTTCATAATAAGAATGCATATTCACTGCAGTATTCGTGTACATTCCAAAACACCTCTCACAATAACTACGTAAATTTCATAAGCCAGGCAATGCCTACAGTTTGTTGGGAAGAACACATACCAAATTTTTAGCAATTTTTGGAAAACCATTGATTTTGAAAGTACCCACCCTAACAGCCTGTTAGTTCACAGGAACAGTTTGATGTTCCCACCATTACAATTTCTGAAGTTCACATGTCAAATTATGAATATATGATGGATCAGAAAAAGTGCAATGATAAACAATAATGTAAATGTGCAAAAGCAAGTGATAAAGGGTGAATGGGAGTTTAGAATATAATGGCCTCTTGGACTTCCCTAGCTGGACAAGGTGTGAAACAAAATAAAAGTGTTGTCATGATGCTCCATAATTACAAGTATGTTAGGAAGAAACAAGACACTAAAAGTTGATGTTCTTTGGAAGTTCTGTCTGAATTCACAATTGTTTAATTGTTTGAGATATTATTTAAAGTGACATGATGAGTCTTCCTTAGCCCAATGCAGTACGGTCATAATTTCTGAATTAGAACCCATATATGTAATCTAAAATTCTACATATATAGTGGTAACAGGATTTATGAATCTTATTAAAATATAGTTATTGAAACATCACTAGATTTGTAGATTTTGAAGTCGGGGAAAGTACCACTTCTACCGTAATTGTGTATGGTTTGCAGTTTACTGTCTAATGTAAAGTGCTCATTTTCCCGACCCACAACTAGGCGAATTAATTAATTAATATATTGAACCTAGTCCCTTGGGTGGCATATGAACAGCATGCTAGCTTTATGTTAGGCGTTTCCAAGTTCGAAGCCCAGCTAAGGCAATGAAGGTGTAGATTTCTAACACATATCGTCTCAGTTTTTGCAGTTGTGTGAGGAAAGAAAAACCTAAGGCAGGTCAAGTAAGCTAGGTACAGTAAGGAGAATACGTAATGCTTGCCACATGTCTCCTTTATCTCCATGCATAGATAATAAAAACCTAGCCCAGGCATGGGATCCCCACTCGCCATCAAAAGTTGGATTAATCCAATCCGAAAATATGTAAATTACATGCATACATTTTTGGAACTGATTGTGAATGGTTGGATATTGTTCTGTTCATCCAGTATACCTTAGAAGAAAAATCTATTTTAATTAATGAGCAACCTTCAACATGCAGACCTGATTCATTTGCTTATCAAATCTAATTACTGAAATGATCAAAATATAACATGAAATACTCAAACTACATCCTCAATCTACCACATTTCTCCATCCACATCTCTGCTAAGAGAAGGGCAATATTTACTAATTTTCAGATTTTCATTCAACATTATGTATCCCAGGAAAATGTGAATGTTCACATTATCCAAATTGAGTAGATTAAGTCCAATGCAGAACAGTTTCGAAGTATACTTTGGACTTCAGTCAGATCATGGTGATACTCGGCTGAAGCTTTGTTATGAATTTCTGAGTTGCCAATGAGGATGTGCATTTCAGAATTTACATACAGAGCCTTCAACTTGTGCACAGCATAATTTTTTAACATTATCCACATGAAGTCCAAAATAACACGTTTTCATTGTCATGCATACAGCTTTTCCACGGTCTAGCTAATGTATGAATTAATCTGTTACAGCTAACAATAGCCATATTTCCAACTTTAGCTTTAAAAACAGGATGTCCAGGGAAGAAATGTCACAACTTGTCTCTTAAGACTATTTTAAGCATATTTTGTCTAACTCCTTAGATATTCTGAATAGCTGAGCTACAATAAGTACTCAAAAGTTGGTTTGAAATAATACTTTCTTTCCAAAATTTGTGTTGCAGAAGCATGTTGTTGTTGGTATTGTTTATTATTTACAAAAGAAATTAATATATTTGTTTAGAAAGAAAAATTAACACAGAAATAAAAAAGCAATCAGTTCAACTGATATTTTATTTCTGAGTTAACTGCCTGAGGTATAACTAGTTTCTTGTTCTTAAAATCATCATAATCATGTTTTTTGTCCCTACCCTCATCATCTTCACATGCATCAAGCTTGTTTCTTTTTGGTCTTCCCACACAGCAGCAGTCACTGACTTATTAGCCATCCATGAATGTTTTGCACATTGATTTTTTGCCCCATTCCTTTAACAGAATATACTTAAAATTTGTATTGTTTAATTTTTGTGTGATTGAGTTGCAAACTCTCACATCTGCATTCCTTTGTTACATAGGAAATGGGAAATAGCATCATGTTTCCAAATTTGGGAAGTTTTTGATAAGACAACTGATAAGAAAATGTTTTTGTTATCACCCTTTTCTCTGGTTGGATGTAGAATGCGTTCTTCTCTCAATGTGAATTTTTTCATTTCCATCCCTTGCAAAACACAGATTCGCACTCACTGGGCATCAAGAGTATGTGTAGCCCTCTTCTATCAGTGCATCAGGTAACATGATCTCAGCATCAATTTTAATTCGTTTTCACATCGTGTGTCACTTGAAGCAATGCCATTCATTTGAAATTGTCTCTGTACCAGCCCATTCAAATACAATTATCTAAATCATTTGGAAATCAACAGTGTATGCAAGATCATGTCTGCTAATAAGTTTTTATTGCAATAATGTATTAACGTAACAAGAGATATTTTTATTCTATGAGCAGCTTATTGTTACATCAACATTTATGAGTTTTCTTACACAGAAAGGCAATATAATAACAATCTTAATCAGCTTTTGCAATTTTCAAAATTTTAGAGTCTTTCATGAAAATTGGACCTATGTTATATTAAGAAGTGAACTTTGCTCTATTCAACCAAAAAAGTGAAGAAACAATTTGAAGCAGTTTTTAAATGAACTGTTTTTAAACTTTTTTAGAATTACATGATAGAATTGTATGATTTCACACAAAATTATGCAGACATTACTTATATTTTTGAAACACATGACATTCCAAGATGTAATTTTAAAGAATAAATATCATTGCAAAAAAAAAAAACTGTCTTTAAGGTAAAGAAGTAGGATGGTAAAAAAATGTTCAATATTTGCAATTTTTGAAAATTCACAGGTTTTAACGAAAATCATGCCTGGGCTCTTTTTAAATTTAATCTTTTCTATTAATTCATTCTCTTCCAGCAAACAATTTGAAGACAAATTTTGGAGCTATTTTTGTAAAAATTTCAAAAATGTCCCGTGGTTTTTCTTGTAAAAAGTACCACCAAAACAAATCGCTTTCAAATTCACAGAGTTTCTAGTCCCATCAGATTGAATAGGGAATTTTCATTTTTGAGAACATTCTCTGACGGACAGACGTTTAAAGAAAAAAAAGTAGGAAGAGAAGAAAGCATAGTAAAACAGGGGGAAAGCTCAACACTTCAGTATTAGGGACCCACAAATACGTATTTCTACCATATCACATTCATTTTTTGCAGCATTACAATACTTTCTCTACACTACATATATGAGAAGGTAAAAACTTCAACTTCTAGAAGTGAACTTTAGGTTATTATAGTTCTCCCTCTGGTTTTAAGGTTTTGAAGTTTATTGGCTTTTTTGTCACCTACAAAGATGTTCATTACAAAATACACAAATGACTTACTAGTATAAGCTCAAAAAATGTGCTCAAAACTTTTATAACCTTGAAAAATTCTTTCCTCACCAACAGAAATTCCCAGCAGCAATATACTTTACTTGCAGAAGAATTCAAAAACAAATATATGGATTTTGGTTAATCATGAAAAAGATTTTGACAGATTCTTATGATAAACACACTTTTATACCCAACTCCGCAATAGAAATTCTTTTCAACAAGGAAGAAAAATACAAGACAGGACACAATAAATGTAGGAAGTAATAAAGAAAAAAGTTGCGACTGAAGTAGAGAACACAGAAGAACATCATTAGAAAGTCATTTAAACAGACACTTTGTGCAGCTCAGATGAGGGGGAAATCCACGGTGGAGGGACTAAGGGGTAGTTGAGGGGGTTTGATGAGATCTTATAGAGGACAAGGGAAGCGAGCAATGGATAATACATGACACATTATTATAAGCAAGGCATGGGTGACCTAAATGAATTAAAAAAATTAAACAACCCAAATAATTTTAATGCTCCGTGATAGAATAATGCTATGAAGAAAGCAGTCTATTTCCAAATACCTTATCAGAGCACCATAACTATTCTGTTTGTTCAAGCAAAAGCTGCGTAGCGATAATTTCAGTTTTATTTTGATCTTTTGTGTAGGTCAGTGTAGCTGTCAAAGTGTTTAACTAAGTTTTTGTCAATCAGTTATGATTGTGTTGTTCTTATTCTTTGTTATTATTGAGTATTTGGAATACAATGGTAAGAATAAATGTGGTTCTTTAAGCGTCGTGCTGAAAGAGGTGCTTGGGCTGTGATTAAGTGGGTTCAAAATCGTGGATTGATTGCGATAAAGTTTGATGTGTACAGTGTGTGTCTTATGAGGTTGGGCAAGTGGAAGGAGTTGTATGATCAGCTTTGAGTGGAATACAAAAGAGGTAAGATTCTTGCCTTTCCTTGGGAGTTTTTCCTACTGATACAAAACGTGAAGAAATTGCACTTCCGTAAGTGTTATTTGTTTTTTTTATTTACAAGCACTTGTCATAATGTTTGAGCAATGGTGTAAGGAGATACCCCTTTTACTTCCTCCTTTTCCCTGCGCCCTCTCCACCTCTTTCCCTCCCCTCCCCACTCCACTCCACTCCACCAAGCAATTCACTAGCGTGTACCGAGTTCTCTACTTTAAGCAAAGTTACAAAACAACATCTTACCTACTACACCTATGTCTAGTTTCTCAAAAGCATCATTGATGTCCTCGTATGCTTTTCCAGGATCATTGAAGTCTATAACCAAAATCTTTGTCTGCTGTTTGTATTCTCTTCCTGTAACAGATCAATTGAATATAAACAACATGTACCATAATTTTAATACATCTACACAATATTACATTTTTATGGGGAAAAATAATCTTATACTTTATAACAATACAATAATTCAAATAGATTAAATTTAATACAGATGGTAAATCTTCAATTTGAGATACAGTTTTTTAAAGTAATTTAAAACATTGCACAATTTACCAAAGTAAAATATAAAAAACAAATTCTTAAATGTTTGGCACAAATGCATTTGAGAATTTTTTTATCATTAATATTCTCAAAAAAGAAATGTTACATAATTACTTAACATGCCACACAAACTTATGAAGTGGCATTACAGTGAATTTACTTAAAAACATCAGCAATAATATATCAATTACGAAGATTTGTGAATAGTGTAGAACCCAACCGACCTCGATGAATTCTCTCACAGATTAAAAATTCAGCAGGGACCAAGAAATATTATCATCCCTGATCATCCAGAATAGCCCACACTCAATCACTGCTCCCAACACTCATTGCATGTACGAGATGTACTGAATGAGGTGCATTGTGGAGTACAAGATATTCCTGGACATAGTCGCATCCAATTATGAGCAGATCCAATAACAGCTTCAGCTGCTACATTCAATTTTACGAATGAGAACGGTATCACTTTCTTTATATCAGATAATGCTTTCAGAGAACATGTTTTGTTAAAGAATTACAATTAACTGAGAAAATAATATCAACTTCATCTGAAATCTGATAATAAACAAATACAAAATATTTTCCAACCAAATTTCCAAGCATGAATCTATGAAAAAATCCACCATTCAAATATTTATAATATTCTCTTTCAAAAAACAAAACTGAATTGATCACAGAATGATACATTATAGAAGAGAAGATATGTTTACAAAAAAGTATGTTTGTACAGTGTATACCAATTATTAGGCCCATCAACATTTATTTACTTTCCTAGTCAAGATTAACAAAAACATAACTCTCATAATATAACAAATTATATCATATTACATAGCAATTACACATTGTGACCAAATTAACACATTACATCACATTCCACCTTTTCAAACTCAAATTATTCAATGACACTGCTAAATGTATGTATATTACATAATATTAAAATTTCACTAATAAATTGCATGTTACATTATGTTAAAATTTCTTTTAGTTAACGAGCGGAATTGAATTAAATACAATGTTAAGAAAATTGTGCAAAAGTGTCACCCTCGCTGTTTATAGTAGCCTAAGAGGTCGAAACTCGAGAGAAAAATTCCCTTTCATTAGCTGAAGCCAAGTCATTGTTATGTGTATTTCTTGAAGTTAACTGGACAAGTAGACGATTGCAGTCCTGCATCTCTCCACATTGACATCCTTTGTCACTGCTGGAGCATTCCAATCTCCTCTGCTTTTTCTTATAGTGCATGTTACCCCAGTTCTCACAATTTCTGGTTTTCGGCATCTCATATGATCTGACGTCTGACAATTCTTCCTCAAGTTTAGTTAACACTAAGTGCAATTTCTCAGCATCAGATTGGTATGATAGCAATCTTGACATTTGGAAGAAGCTCTTTCTTAAAACAAAGGTGTGTAGGGAGAGATTCGTGTACTAACATAAGGTGCCAGGAGTTTGTTTCCTGTTTCTTTTTAGTGTCTGCAACCACTGTTCTTCTGACTTTTGAACATACTACACCCACAAGTTGATATAGCCTTCATGTTGGGAAGAGTGTAAGGAGGCCAGAAGTAGAAAGAGCAAACTTATTGAGAACAGTTTTTAACTCACTTTACAAGAAATGAATCTCCATGTCTGGGGCAAAGTACTAAGCACAATGCCACACACAATGTACATAACACTACTCATCTATACTTCCCATTGCCTTAAGTCAGCTATAGTTGATGTTATTGAAATTCATCTCTAGGCACACAACATAATTGCAGACCAAAATGAATATTCCCCTTCTCCACTGTAAGAAATGTTGACATCCTTCATTTATGGTGATTACAAGCAATTGGGCATGTATATAAAAAATTGAAGTTAAACAAAAAATCAAAATGGATTCTTGTACCTTTCTTTCCATTTACTGCAAATTAATGACTATTGCCACAAAGGTCTCCAAGAAACATTTATCATGCCGTATAAAGTCATGCTTTAAGTTGTTAATTTTCTTTCTTTAGCATGTTGCAATATTACTTTCACAGTAAACTTGTTTCTTAGTAAAAAACTAAATGAATATTTTTCAATTGAAAAAAATCACGTAATAAGGGTAGATATATAAAAGAACAAAACTGCATTACCACCACCATTTACTTTTCTTTTCCAAGACTTACTACCGAAAATACATTGAAAAAGATAAATGCCCCAAACACAATTGTGTGACTACCACAGTGAATTACTTCACCATTTAACAGCAGCAACTCTATTGTAAAAGCATTACAATTTGAAGTAACACAAATCAATGTAAAATATAATTTACAAGTCATGACATCAAACATTTAGAAAGCAACAAGTTCTAGAACTCATTACCATTGCAGTTCATTGTCAACACACAAGTTTTATTGAAAAATTTGTACTCACTAATAAAGTCTGATAACTCTTGCAGTTTATCAGGATTTCGACCAAGTAATAGAACTGACATCCCTCGCTTTGCCAGTTCTATGGCAAATGCTCTTCCAATTCCTTCAGTGGGTCCTGTAACAACTGTAACACAAACATACATTACAGTCAAATCAATTAGTTTAACTAATTGATAGGAGATATAATAATAATGAATAAGAGATAAATTTCTAAACAAAATGAAAAACATTAAAAAAGAATTTTAAATGCGAAGTACCAAAGTGCATGTCTATCAAATTGATAGGTTTTTTTAATGTTTGATAGGTGGAACCAATATCCATAAACACGAATCCATATATCTATGGATCTTGGATGGTACCTTTTATTAAAGTACACTCTACAGTTTTGCACTTTTTTATTAATATAAAACCGAAGTGCTGCTATACAAATAAATATTAAATATGAAAGAACAGTTCAAGTTCCACTTGCACATTACATTGTTTACAATAGCCTTACATTATGAAATAATTAATCTCAAAATTAATATTATCAATAATCAACTGCGTCAATTATGACGATCATTCCAGGTATAAAAATTATAAAATATCACATTATCTGTAAATTTAACTACATATGAAAAAATTCCACACACTAGATTTAAATTTGGAAAAAATACTAACCTGCCCAATCACCACTTTCCGTGAGGCGTACAGGAAAATATCTTGATAAACCATGAGTTGCAATACCGTGAGCCACAGAATACAAGAATTGAAAAGTCTTGTTAGTAATGTACAGAGCTCCAACAACAGCCAACACATTGCGATAAACGTTTAAATGTTCGAAGTCCTGTACAATTTGTTCCCACAAAAAGTAGAAACTGTCACTAGTCAACACATTAGCCAGATCCTTCATCCCTAGAAAAGTCCCTGGAATTACATAATTTGAGTAAACGTGACATTTTCATTACACATCCAGAAATAACTATTCAATTCTCGAATATTTACCGGCTTCCCCTCAGTCTTTTCCGCCCTTATCAAATTCTACCCGATCCTACCCTTCTACGTTCAACCTAAACCAGCCCTAAACGCAACTATGGCTAATAAATTTTGCACGTCGCCCACCCGGCTTTGCCCATTTGATTCACGACCTGTTCACGACACCACAGTGCTGACACTCGCCCCCGCGAGATCACTGAACGAAAAACGAAGAACGAGACGGAAACTAGCGGGTACGAGGGCGTTCTGTTTCGTAGTTGCAATATGTGCAACTGTTTTTGTGTGTGAATATACTAAGAAATTGAAAAAGGATTCTCTTCAAGCTACCTTGCAAGCAATTATTCCATTTATGCCTTATCGTAACGAGTATTATCCCTCATCGTAACGAGTCGACTCTAACGTCGCGAGATCGGTGAACGAAAGCAAAGTAGTGTTGGGAACAAGATATTCTATTCCGTAATTCAAATTAGAATGGCGCGTTTTAATCCACCCTTGATTTAATGAAAGCATTTAGAGTCGTCCATCAATTACGTAACGCTAAAAAGGGGGGAGGGTGTTTGAAGCAATGTTACATTGCGTTACATGCGGAAAGACAGGGGCGGATCTAAGATAGCATGGTCCCCAAAGGACTCGAATTTTTGTATGTTACCTTCCTTTATTTGGGAAAATTGGTTTAAATATTTATGTTAGAATTATTTAAAAAATAATATTGTATAGCATCATATTCACACTACGAACATAATATACAATTTAATAACAAATAGTTATTATGTAACAAAAATCTATGGCCCCCTCCAGAAAGATCACATGGATCCGCCCCTGCGGTTAGGGGGAGTCGTTTTATGGTACGTAAAGCTAATGTTTTTAAAAATATATTTACAGAAACAATCGCTTTAATTCATTCGTAAACTGACAACAAAACATTCGTATTATGGTAGGTTCATATGTACTATGGTACGGAGTAATATTCGTAATATAGAGAAAGTTATGTAATGCTGCGGAATATCGATTTCAAGACTTCAACGGAAATACACGTTTTGGGGTCCGCTGATGCCGAAAAAGTGTTTTTTTTTTTTAAACGTCTGTCTGTGAGCACTACTAGTGCCTAAACCATGCGTAGGAATTTTTCCAAATTGAAGAAACTCCTGTCCATCTGGCTCCAGTCGAAGCTATGAGATTTTGAAAAACATTCTTTACAATTTTGGGGTACTTTACATGATAAAGATTTTTCCTTCAAATGAAAGTTGTTGCCCATAATTAGTTCTTTCAATAAGGTCACGTACTTACTTTTTTAAAAAATTTTGGTAATTTTCACGCAATATTGCGTGCAATATGTGCAATATTAAAAAGTAACAAAACAAGATTTTCTCGAAAACGGCTCCAAATTTTTACTATAAACTTTTGGTAGAGATAGTGCGAAATGTATTCTAAGAGATTATACAAACGCCATTTTGCTTTTTTTTCATATATAAAAATGTAATTTGTTTTTACTTGTCTCTCACGTCGTGATATTTGCATTAGCGGCAATTTGTTCACATTATTACATTTACGAGTATATGTGCTTTAAATTATATCTAATAAGGTTTCTTGAAAATTCAATATCTTTCTGTTAAAATAAGCTCAAAATTCTGCATTCTCAGAAACGCGCAAACGCTAATTTCTCAAAAACCGCTCCAAATTGTTTCTTCAAACTTGTACTTATAGTACAAGTACACTATAGGATAGTACTTATTACACTATTTAAAATGGCATAGAATTAACTTTGCTGTATTCTTTTCTTTTGTCAAAAATAACAAAAATGCAATATTCAAAAAATATCTTTCATGCCGTTAACATGGATATTCCCAGCAATGTGTAAACACACTGCATTTGCGAGCAAAATTTCTTCAAATAGCTTCTAATAAAGTTTTTTCAAAAATTCAAAAAAGCTCTGTGGAAAAGAGCTTCAAATTTCGCATTTACAATGACGCTTAAACGCCATTTTCTTAAAAACAACTCGAAATGTTTCAATGAAAATTGCCATGTACGACGTGGTTTTACTCTTTTATAATATTCTTAAAGTAATATTTTGGTTTTACCATTAAGAAACCGAAAAAAATATTTTTTTTTAAAGTGCTCTGGGACGCGATAAATGGCAGCTGGGAAGAGTACGTGACAAGCCCGAATAGCTAGCACATTCCAAAGAAAATAGAAAACTAATTCGAGAAAGTCTATGCCATTCTTTAGGCCCACTAGTTTCCTTTACGAGTTGATTCCTCGCGCAGCCTCGACCGCGTTTGCCACATTCTTGACATGTCAGAAGACACAGCACTAAACGAAACGATACCAATAGAAACGATACAAACAACGGTAACAAAATACCAATAATAATCACCGATAACAAGGAAGGTTTAAATCAATTATAACAATAACTACAAATCTAATAACACCCATACTCACAAATTCCGCACACGCTACGCACTTTTAAACTCAATAACCTCACACTCGACACTAGACTTCGCTCAGCTGGTTAACCACAATATTCGAGGCACAAGATTCATTAGTTCTCTAATTTTAGATGACAACAATATACAAATGCCGAAAACATGTTTAACATTATAAGCCAAAATTAATGAGAATACATTTATGCAAAGAGAAGGCACCTCAAAGAAACGTAATTTGTATAATTGTTGTCTATAGTTGAGGCAGTTGAGTTGAACCCGTTTAAACAGACTGTGTTTATTTTGTTATATTATTATTTAAAAAAAAAGCCTGAAGATGACAAGGTATGAAAGTTGTCGAAACGTTGTGGATGTGTGAAGAACGTAATTAAACAAAAATGTGAAATTTTAATTGTGTTTTGTAAATTGTTCTGATTCTCTGTTCCATTGGTTACTGCCCTGGCTTCATCACCTGACCACGAAATGCCAACTACATTCTACTTTTCTTTAGTCCTTAATTATAATATTCAATTTTATATGTAACATTTTGTTAAAATTATTACTTTCATGTAATTATTTTGTTTAAAAACCCATACAAAATAATGAATGCAAAACTTTTACATTATGAATTTTGTCAAATATTATATTAATAAGTTAAATTTAAGTGAACAAACACATAAAATTTGACAAATATTTAATTAACACTGTGTTTATTAACACTAACATTCGTTTCTAATAACAAACTATTTCTTTGTCACAATTGCATATTCTGCTGTCCACATTTTTAATAGGATTTTCTGTTACTACTATCGATTTTTTTACATTTCTTTAAAAACCTTTACCAACATACGTAGTTATTTCCACAGGCTCAAACAAAGTATGATGTAAAGTTTCTTCGGCGAGCCAAGCAAGAAGCCACTACATTAGACCGAAAAACATGTAGAAGAGACTTCCAGTCTCCAATCAACAGAAACCATTGCATCTATTAGATGTGTAACCAGGATCACCTTCGAACCGAAGAAGGATTCAAGCAGTGATTTGTTACCAACGTCTATTACTAAAACTGCTGCTACATCTAACTGATCACTTATGCATGAGCGTGATCCTGGTTACACTCCACCATTTAATAAAAAAATATTAGTATTGGACCATATCAACCTAGAAACTTGAATTTTCCTGTGAAAGTTGGACGAAAATTTCTCCTAGAATGGTATAAAAACACACATGGCTTGAATATAGTTCATTACAAGATAAGGCTTATTTTTTGTATCCCGAGCTTTGTTCCAAAATGTAGTTAACAAGACAGACGAGGCCTTTACTCTCAAAGGATTCTGCAATTGGAGAAAAGGTACCAAAAAATTTGATAGCTACAAAAATGTACAACACAAATGCACAAAATGTAATATGTAATATTAAAATACTCTAATTATATAACAAATGTATATAATACAAAATTTCTTTTATAAAAAGTCCTAAACAGATTTTAAAAATAATACAAATGTTTTAAAAAGCATTTGTAGAATACAAGTTGATGCACACTTTGCACAATATAACTCTCCTGTCAGTAGTAAAAGCTTCATCTATTTTTATCTAGGACCAGAGTAAGGAGCCAGACTAGACGCAATAGAAGCCATCGTACAAACTGGAGGTATCAACGACCAGCAAACAATCACTGCAGGGTGCAGCATTCTCATCGAACTGTTACACGCCGGCGATCGCAAAGTTTCTCGGAAATTAAGTTGAAATGTCACGAAACGCAGCGTCAGTGATAATTTTTTCACACACGAGGTGCGGATTCATGCACCAGGTGCGGAGGGGAATGAGAGAAATCCCCCTTCTAAATTTTTTCAGTAACTATTAATTTTAACTTGTCACGAAACTTTCATGCAAAAATATTTTCGAATAATCATTACATACATACATTTATTAGAACTGCAATTGGGTATGACCCGGTGGCAGTTAAGTGACAATAATT